TTTTACCCATAACAACTAAGAAACATTTTTTTTTTAAAACAATTTTGTAATAAAATAAATTAATTTAAATATTCTAAATAATATATTTCGAATTGAATAGAATAGGTATAAATAATAAAATAACTGGAAATATTTGGTTAAAAGGGTTTATATTCAGTGTAAAATCAAACTGCGCTGTGAAGCATCAGTTTTGTATACAATTGTCTTTTAGACTCTTTTTTATAAGTTTGTGTGGATATTTTACTTTCATGATACAATCTTATTTTTACGTAAGTATGTAAAAATAATAGCATTTAATAATAAAAGTGAATGATAAACTTGTACTGATAATAAATAATCCCCAGGGTGTATTGCAAATTCTATTATAATTTAAAAAACAAATAAAAAAAAAATATTTTATTTTTATTTTATAAAAAAAAATATTTTTGTTTATTTACTTTTTATTTTATATTTTTATTTTTATGATAAACATTTATTATTATTATTATTATTTTGTACAATTATTATTTAAAATTGATAATAAATTAAGAAAAACAATGAATTAATTTTTTTGTACAAAAGTCTCCAGCACTGCGAGCTTTCACTTCTCTTTCTTCTAAAAAAAGGGATCGGTCCAGCCCTAACAACTACCGTTCTTCCTATATTTTATTATTATTGGCAAAATGTTTAAAAACAGTATAAAGCATATTATTTCATAAATTATAAATTCTCCCACTAATGTGGGAAAACCAAAATGTTTTTTTAATGGTAACACTGATTCTAAATTACAATTATCAGCGTTTTATTTCAATTACAGCCTTATTTACGATATTATCAATACAAAAACCATAAACTTACACGTGAAAAGTAATTCCGCATGATTTATTAATGTTTTGTGACCTTGAATCGCATTCTTTCACTACGCATTTAGCCATTTTGGCGATTGTTACTGTCATGTGTCGCTATGTTCAACTCGGTTGACGCCACATTGAATAATGAATTGACGTTTGCTACGCATATGCCTGTGGGCATATGTGCAGTAGCAACGATTTTAGGCGGTAATTACTCATCTATGTAAGTATTATATCAATGTGAAAAGGACACAAAAACACCCAGACTCAGATCAATTATTTGTGGATTGCACAAAATGTTGTCCCATGTGGGGATCGAACCCACAACACTCAGTGCAGTAGGAAGCGGCGAGGTGACCGCTTAAACCACTACGCCATCCGTCCAGTTTCAATTTAATTTAAAATTGAAATTACGGTTTTCCCTAATTGTTAGTTATTTATGATAATCGTTTATTTGCGTGTATGAAATAAATTTTAAAATTAATTCTCAGTTTCAAAATATGGTTGGTTTATAAAAGAATTTTCCTTGAATTGTAAATTATATTATCCGTGCGGTGATTGATCAAGAATACAGAGTGTCACCATCCCTTTTCACCCCGTGTGTCGTGAGAGCCGACTAAGGGAGCAAACTACGCAAGTCAACAGCACTGCAAAGAGGAGGAAAACAAACCCTATACCAACTCATCTGTTCAGCGTGGTATAGTAGGCCAAAACCTCCTTTCAAAGGAGAGGCCTGTGTCCAGCAGTGGACTATTAAAGACTGTTGATAGTTATAATAAGGTCAAAAATAGAGCCATATCTATGTGTAATGAGAATTTAATTACCTATTCACCATTTTACAAACTTTCGTGATCAGTCATGTATGATTAGTTTTGCCCGCGGTTCCGCCCGCGTGTATATAGCCTACATCCTTCCTCAACAATCAAAGTATCTCCATGCCTAATTTAATAAAAATCGGTTAAGCCGTGAAAGCGTAACAGACAGACAAATTTACTTTCGCATCTCTACAAATAAATAAAATTGAAGTGGCTGTTTGTAATGACAAAATTATAGGTTTTTTTCATGCTTACACGGTTATTTGCACGATACCTAAACCCAATTTTTTCTGTCTGTTTGTACCGGGTAATCTTCTAAACGGCTGGACCGATTTTAATAATATTTTACTACCAGGTAGCTGTCTACTTAACGAATAACTTAGGCCATTTTTCCTCTTAGAAAAACCCTTTAAAATTTTGTCCGGGTATCGAACCCACTAAGGCAGCGCTTTTCAAATTCCACGTAGTTAAAAACAGTAGTTGGTCACGTTAATTCCCATTCGTCAGTAACAATGACCTACATATTAATGTTATTTTATTTATTTATTCTTTATTGAAAAACACCGAACACGCACATATATATATATATCTAAATAACAAGGAAATGTCATGTACAAAGGTAACCTTAACCCAAAACTGAGATTCCTTCCAGTAATACCTTAAGCGAATAGAGGACAAGAGAAACGAAAGAGCACAGTCGTGGGTACTTTTTCTTGTTGATGGGGTGGAAAATCCCTTCGGATCTCCGGCTCCTCGGGGACGCAGGAGCCAGAGTATGTGGTGTTGCCACTAAAAACCACCCCGACAGCCGGTCTCAGGTGCCCTGCTGCATTTAAAAACCGCTGTCTCAGTGGGTTCGATTCCCGGGCCGGGAAAATTTTTATAGGGTTTTCTGAGATAAAAAATAGCGTTACTTACGACACACAAGAAAAATTAAACTGGTTTTTAGGCATAAGTATCGTGCAAATAACCATATGAATATGAAAAACCTATTATTTTGACATTACAATTTTTTTATTTTTATAGATAAATTATACCCAGACACGGAACAAATGATCTCGCTCGTCACACAGTATTTGTCCTGCGTGAAAATCGAACCCACGATCTCTAGCCTCTAGCCTTTATACGCGTCCTGTGAAAATCGGATAAACGGGAACAAACGGACAAAAAAAACAGTGGCGCTCCGGGAGTGTCGTTTGCCGGGAGTGTGTGTTTTTTTTTTTTATTATATAAGGCATTGTTTTTGGTTTTTTTCTTTTAGAAAAGTTCCGACATGAATATATATCTATGTTTTACGTTTTTACACAATATATGTTTATAGTATATTTAGATATATTATCAATGTATTTAAACCCAAACTCAACTCTCGTGTGAACGGGGCCAATATATGTAGATACTTATATACAGAGGTGTCGGTCACGGTAATAGTTCGCGGGTTCAATGGTTTTTTCTTATCTCCACATTCTTTTGTTTGTTGTTCATAAATGCCCAACGCGCCTTAAGAAGTTTCCCCTTTAAAAATTTTTTTGTATAGTTTTGAAAGACTCATTTAATGAAAAGCTAACAGACACACAGACACTTTAGTTATAATCATCATCATCATCATGTCAGCCTAAATATGTCCACTGCTGGACATAGGCCTCCTACAACAACCGGTCTTGTGCTGTCCGCATCCAAGGGCTTCCCGCATCCTTCACCAGGTCGTCGGACCACGGAATCATTGTTGATAAGAATAATTTAAAACTCCAATTAATAAACAGTAACAATATAAAAACATATCTTGAGTAGATATGAATCAGTTTTGCTGAATTTTTAGTTTCAACATCAACAATTGCGTTCTTTGCACGATCTCTGATAAAAAACCGGTAAATTTGAGGCCAATCTCCAAAGGCACTTATTGTCTGTCTGTTTTATTACTTTTATTGTTATGTTGTTATGATTAGGCATTGTGAAAACCTGCGGACAAATATATATTTTGCTGCAACGATTCAATACGGTAGTCTATACATGTAATATTACCTGCCCTGGCTAGATGATTCATCAACGCAGAGCCAAACGGCAGGGGCTAAAAACTTGAAATTTTGACAGCTGATATTTTTATGTTGTAAGCACTCTCTGAGACAGGGTCGTGGGTACCATTCCCACCCAGGTTAAATACTTGTGCGATGAGCACGATGATTTGTTGTGTCTGGGTGTAACTTATCTATAATATGTATATATTTAGAAAGATATAAGTATGTTTCTCAGGAGTCTGGTTTTCATAGTTCAGGCTCTGCCTAGTTTGGAATCAGACGTTCGTGTGTGGGATGTGTGAAGTTATTTTTTTTTTAATTCACCCCTCAGGTAGTAAAATAAGAGATGAACGGTTGTTTGTAAGTTCGTCATTTTCGAAGTTAAAAATATAATCACGCAAACAAGCCTCTTTTTTCAAGGGCCACGACTTTATTAATTTAATCACGGGCATACGAACAGTTGGGTTACCTGATGGTAAGCGACTACCGCCGTCCAATACCTTTAACTCAAGAGTCACAAGTAAGTTTTTTATGCTCACACGATTATTTGCACGATACCTATGCCTAAAAACCAGTTTAAATATTTTTTGTCTGTTTGTTTGGATAATCTTCAAAACGGCTGGACCGATTTTATAATATTTTACTACCAGTTAGCTATCAATATAAAGAGTAACGTAGGCCATTTTTTCTATCAAAAAATTCCTATAAAATTTATCCCTGTCCGGGAATCGAACTCACTAAGGCAGCGTTTTTCAAACTCCACGCGAACGAAGTCGCTAGCACCAGCTGGTTTGAAATAAAGATTGTACAATAGCACTCTTATAGAGGCATAAACATATATAGAAAGAGAAAACATTATGGCAGTGTCGTTCCGTCAAAACCATCGTACCCATGGTAAGATATAACTCGTGTCCTCCCAGCTTATACACTTATTAAATTGTCATAGAATGGATCTTCTTTTAGGTAGCAAATATAATAAAATAGCAAGAGGTAGTTGTTCCTTATAGCTTGAATGTACATATGTGTATTTGTAGTGTATATAATGTATGTGTAAGTGTGTGTGTGTGTGTGTGTGTGTGTATGTTTGCTAATGATTCATTGCTCTGCTTGTGAAATATTAAAGTTTTATTTTTGTTAAATAAATATGTGTTACGACTATGTTACTACCATAACAAAACTTCTTAATAATGACCAAATACGCGGCAGTCAGTATAACTACTCTTAAGTACTATGGTACCAAACTTGTTGGTCCTTCGAGCCTACTTAGCCAAAGCCCTCCAATAAAATATTAAAGTTTGAGGTGGAAAAAATACCTTAACAATAGCCTTTTTCCTTTCAGAATCATGAAGCTCTTCCTCCTCTTAGTAGTTGGGAGTGTTTCGGTGGCCTTCACGAGCTCGCAGAGTACCACGATAGAACCTATACTTCTAAATAATATCTTCGGCACACCCCCAACGCCTACTCCTGGGTTCGGGCCCTCGACGAAAGGGCTTGAGGACGTAAGTATATCTCTCACACTTCAGATAATCTTGTAAAAGAAACAAGATGAAGTACCAGTATTTATTGACATATAGTTTCAATAGGTCTTATAAATCCAACGATTAGCCTACTACAGTCCAATGCTGGACATAAATTCTTCTCATATTTGCAACATAATGCCGAGTCCTCCACCTTCTGCATCCAGTCAATCCACCCTTCCACCTTCTTTAGGCCACAATCCATCTGGCTATGTGAGAGAAAATAAAAATGAAATTTGAAAAAGTAACATTTTGACAAAACCAACGTGTGACGTCACAAGTCGGTATTCCATACTCTGTTAAATTGATTTCGTTTGATGTATAATTTCTTTATCTTCTTCTCCTTTCAGATCATCGTGAGCTCCACAGAAGGCATTTCGACTCTAGTGGACAAGGAAGGTAGAAGCTGCCAATGTGTACCTTACTATCTCTGCGATTCTAACAATGTTGGAGTCGATGTGAACAATCCCAACATTACTGGATTTGGAGAGCTGGATGTCAGGTGAGGATGCCGAGGAACGGGTCTTATGGTCATTTCTGACATCTGACAACACAACACAACGCCTTCTAGTTTTAAACTAAGCAGAGCTTGTACTATAAAAACTAGATTGACAGATAGAATACTTACATATATACTTCTTTGTTGTTTGTAAATCCATACATATTATACATAGAAAACACCCAAACAAACATTTGAAGATCAACAAATATAGGGTCCAACCCGGAAGTATATATTTACGTAAAAAGTATACGAGTCTTCTATCAGTCACTCTAGCTTTCATAGTACAAGCTCTGCTTAGTTTGAAACTAAATGGCGTTATGTGTTAGATGTCCGAAATATGATTTTCATTTTGGCTTTTATTTTTTATTTGCCCAGCTTTTTAGCTGGTTCCACCGTATTTACGGGTCTAAACCAAATAAATACAGCATGTGGTGTGTACATTATGTTGGTGTGGTGTCATTTTATTATTATTAAATATAATTTATGTAAGTATTTATATGAAAATGTTTAATTGTTTTGTGTAGGTGGGTCATACTCAGAAAAAATGTACATTTGCCATTTGTTAATAAACTGATAAGTAACGAAATGGAGAATCAATGTGACGAAACTTATATTGTAAAGTAGGGTACATACTGAACAGAACACGCATAATTAATCTAAATAAAAACATAATATCTCAGAAATCTAAATCAGGCTCATCCTACCCGACGGGATAGGTGAATATTCCAACGATACGAATATATCATTAAGACTAAAGAACCCTAAGCCTTTTTAGTTGTTTAGTTAAGTTAGTGTGACGTACTCCAGTGAGTGCTACTCTTGAAGAACAAGTAAAAAGTGTATTTTCATTGGAGTAGGAACCATAAAAAAAGTACCAATGGACGCAATCTTTAAGTATATTATATTTTTTTAGCTAATAAATTTAAATTACTCATTATGCCTAAAGGCTTGATTGCAATTATTATGGGGGACCATCCAGCTACAAAATAATGAAAAAGAACTCAATTTTATGAATCAGTATGTACAAGTATACTATGCAATTGTAGGTTTACTAGTAGTTACAAATTAAAGTAAATTACAGTTTTCTCGTTAAATTACAAATTATTAAAAAATATCCTAAATACTTGACTACTCTGCACAAGTACCCACACAAATAGTAAAATAATAAGTCAATCATTTTTTTTTTAGTTCAACAAAAATATATTGTTACGTTCGGGAATCAAGCCTGTCACTTCTGTTCCCCTCAATTAATGTAATAAAATTTTAACAGACGATAATTAATTTTTCAAATTAGAGTAACTTTGTAAACTCAGCTTTACAATTTCTCAGTTTCGTAACATAACGCAATATAACCGAACTGAAGACAAACTCTGAGAAATTATAACCCTGAAAAATAATTCTGTTAGTACTACTTATTGTATACACAATAACTGAATTTATTTGTCTAAATATTATTATAACTAAGACGTGGGCATAAAATAGTACAACCAATCGTATATGCTTATAGAAATTCAAATCGTTTATCACCCTTATTTTTTTCCAAATGCGAATTCAAAACAATGACTCCCGTGTACAGGTGAAAACAAAATGACCTCTGTATGTACGGTGAATTATAAAAAGCAGCAATGTTGTTAATATTAGGAAAATTATTTCCCTTCAGCTTCGAACAACTGCGTTCAGAATTATACGCACGTAACTAACACTGAGTAACGAAATGTAATAATTTTGGGACAACATTAATATGAATTACATTAAACGTTCTAAAGAATAAATCGTATTACTATTTAAATGATGAACTAAAATAGACCTAAATGACTACAGTCAATCTTACGACTTACATTCGACTAATAGTCGTAACAATTACTCTTTTATTAAGAAAAATCGTTATTCGGACATTAAAAAAATGTATGGAAGACATTTTATAAAAAAATCCCAATGCTATTTATTCTATGATTTGACGAAAATATTATTATTATTTATAAAAAAAAAGATCCTATTAAAGACTAAAAATAGATTTAAACATGATTAAAAATATGTGCCATAATATTCAAATTTTAAATCTGCTATTAAAGTAGTGGGACAAAAAAAAGTGCCAAATGTACATTTTTTCTGAGTATGACCCAGGTACGCTTCAAAAACTCAAAAAGTTCTGTACCGAGTGAGTTCAAACATTGATATGTTATACAACAAGCTTAACTTAGCAAATATGGTTTTTATCTATGTTTTGCTACCACAATGTGCCACAGCGAAGCGTGGCAGGGTATAGAAAGTATATTATAAAAAACTGAAACGGGTAACTCGCCTGAGTATGCTTTTGATCACGGCGAAGGGTAGGCCATTTAAATTTGGATTAAATACGATACAAAGATAAGATATAAAGTAGTTCAACCTACTGATGTAGCTATGATTATTTATAATGTGTGCGTCTCGGGACGCCCGACAGAACTGATAACTTAAACTAATCTAAGTTGAACTATTTAATATTGAAATTGTGACAAAATACGCTGTGGGTTAGAGTGAGAGAGGAGGAGCCTTACCGCTGCCGTATACGTGAGAGAAAGGAAAGCCAGACAGACTGGCGCCGTAACGCGTTACGTAACGAAGCATAAGAAGTTATCACTTCAAAAACTCGCTACCTAAAAACACAAAAAAGCGAAAAATAAACTGAATTATTTATATTATAAAAAAATGTGCGACTTTTCTTACTAATTAAATCAAAAACTTTACCTAGTACCTACCGCCGTTTTTATTATTCTCTTTTCTTTATCTTTTTAGAAAGACAACTCCCGCAATAGGATTATATCCTGTGTCGCGGGTGACTTTATAAACATACATGATACGAACACAAAAAACACCCAGACTCAGAACGACAATTTGTGAACCCCCAACACTCAGTGTAGTAGGCGCGGCGACCGCTTAAGCCACTACGCCATCCGTGCAGTCGATTATTATATTAATTTTATTATATTTTAATTAAACTTTTTACTTTACAGGTTTGGTGAAGACAATGAGATAACGTGCCAGGAGTCCGTTGAGATCTGCTGTACCATCCCCGCGGACCCTGAAAAACCGAAGCCTAAACCTGATCCGACAAAGCTGAAGGGGTGTGGGTACAGGAACCCCAAAGGATTGGGAGTCACTTTTAACGTGAGTTTAATAAGTTAGGCTTATTTTATAAGTATTGTATAGGGAAAATATAACCTGATGGTAAGTGGTTACCATCAGGTTGTATGTATGTGGTTGATAACGTTACTTAGTTGGTGATATGAAACAAAAGATTTTCTGTAAGGATATAAAATAAACCTGGACAAATCCGGGTTGGGCGATGTGCAGTGTAAGGTTCCCTAGCTTATTATTTGAATAAATAAAGAACAGACGCACAAAACGACGACCATGGCGAAACTATAAGTGTTTATATTTTATGAAACCTTAAAAAAACATTGAATTCATTTTTTATTGAGTTTTTAAAGAAGCAGCTTGTTTTGACGTCATTTCTAAAACGTGAGAATGGCAATCGACAGCACATTCGACCTGATACTTGGCATCCGGATATAGGTATATCCGGCTTTTAGTGCGGGTCAGATACCGGATAGCCGGCCAAACCAGCTACACTATTAATATGATCACCACACAACATTATCTCTAACCGAAAAGCTTGATGCCATGATGACGATTGACGTACGTCTTGACGTTCTGATGATAATTATGACGTTTTCTGTACAAATACACCCAAAACAATACAAATAGATAAACAAAGTTAACTGCACGCATGGCATAGTGGTTTAAGCGGTCACCTCGCCGCTTCCTACTACGCTGAGTGTTGTGGGTTCAATCCCTACATGGGACCACACTTAGTGTGATCCACAAATTGTTGTTCTGAGTCTGGGTGTTCTTTGTGTCCGTTTCATGTATGTTTGTAAAATCCCAGTTACAGAGGACATACTCGTATTCTTATTGCGCGAGTCGTCTTTTAAGAAAATAAAATACAAATACAACAAAATACAAATAAATATATTTAATGGGTATCGAACCTGCGACGGTTGACGTTAGCCTCCGTCTCGTAGGTCCTTGATACGAGTTCTTGTAAAATACTGTCTGAAAAATTCTAGGGCGCTCACACTCAATTCGGTGAATTCCCATGGGTGGTGGCTTTGATGGACTCTAAGAACCTATCCTATATTGGTGTTGGAGTTTTGATCAATCCAGAAGTGGTGATGACCGGAGCCCACGTTATTTACAAGTAAGTACCACTTAGGTTGTTATACTCTTACGAGCTGGGGTTTCATGATTAGCCACATTTTATTTCAATAAATTGTAATAAATATATTAACTGGCCTGTCGGTTTAGTGGTTAATGATCCGGACTGGTAAGCCAGAGGTAGTGGGTTCGATTCCCATCCAGGATCTGGATGAGTTGTTCTGTGTCTAGGTGTACAATAAGTATGTATTAACTGCTCACATTAATTTTTCAAATAATCTCGTTACAACTCGACTGGAAACATCTAGAACATTCTTTTCTTCTTCTGGAATGTTCCGTCAGTCCTGTTATTCGATTACAGATGGCGCCACGAGTCCTAACTGGGTTAACCGTAACTATTAATATTTAACACTACCATTTCTATCAGCTTTCCCAGCATTTACCTAAATTGCGCTGGTCCTGGTAGAAGTAATGCCTAAACTTACTCCAAGGTCGCAATTCCCAGGCGCTGTCGAAGTCGCATGTGTTGCCCCATCTATCCCGCGGTGGACGCTACACCCGCCCTGTGAATCCAACGAACGCTAAGAAATAGGTCTCTAGTGTTATGTCTTACTGTTAAAAGACCATCATTTTCTTCATGAGTTGATCTATTATATGCAAAAGGAATGATTAAAATCAGACTAGTTGTTTCAGAGATAAGTGGGTCCAACAAGCAAACAACATTACAATTTTTAGCTTTGTCATCCTAGTGGTCTAGTAGCTGGCGATCCTAACTGCTAAACCAGAAGAAGTAGGTTCGATTCCTACCCAGGACAATATAGTATTATATCTACGATCTATAACATGTATGTATTTAAAAATATTTCTGCCAACTTCAAACACTTCGGCTTGTGTAAAGTATAGGTATACTTACTATCTTTTGCCCATGGTTCCGCCCGCGTGTATGTTGGTTAGAACGGTAATAAGTAGTCTATGTTACTCGCTGATAATGCAGCTGGCCATTGCTGAAAGAATTTTTAAAATCAGTTTATTGGTTAGGCGTGAAAACGTGACAAACTAACGAAGTCACTTTTACATTTATAATATAAGAATGGAAGTACGGATATACATCACACAATACCACCAACGAACCCACAACCTCCGACTTGGCAGTCAGTACCAGTCACAACTAAAGAGGCCACTTAGCTAGAATAAAAATTTGCTTCAAATTCTGACTCTCGCTACAGAATCTTCAGGCTCATACCTAACCTAATAAATAACTGGTTTTCTTCCAGATATCCACCAGGCACAATCAAAATTCGAGCCGGGGAGTGGGACACACAGACAGAGAAGGAGATCTTTGGTTATGAAGAAAGAGCAGTAAAAGAAACTTACATTCACAGCAGTGAGTATCTCTTGCATTTTATTTATGGTGTTTTCTATGTATGTTACAAAAAAATAACTATATAAGTGGTCGAAAGCCTCGGTGGCGTATGCGACTTGTGTTGAGGTCTCGGGTTCGATTCCCGGGTCGGACCAAATGGTTGTACAATCTGCAAATATTTCTTTCGGAGTTTGGGTGTTTTCTATGTATAACATACCTGTATATATATATTTTTCATTTTATTAAAGTGTTTTATCAGTCAATCTAGCTTTCATAGTACAAGCTTTGATTAGGTGGAAACTAGATGGCGTTGTGTGTTATATCCATGAAAATATTATTATTATATGGATTTGTGCTTTACCTACTTAACTGATTTATATAAATATTCACATAAATATATCATGTTTAAAAATAATGTTTCTTTATTAAAAATTTAGAGGGGCTCGTGGCTCAGTGGTAATCGAGTAGGGTAACACACTGCTAACCATTGGTGACCTGGGATACTGGAGGCACAACCCTAGGCCAACTTCAAAAGAAGAAGTTTCTAAATTTGGATAACTTTGGGTTTGATCCCATTCAAATTTGAAGATTTCCACCCCTTAAAAAGTTAAGCAATATTCATCAATCAACAGACTTTAATAGTTCACTGCTGGACATAGGCTGTGGGGGTTTGCTCTTTTAGTCAGCTCTTACGATGCCCACGGAATGAAGTGACGACACACACGCATTAATTAATTGATAAGCGAACCAAATATTACAAAAGAAGCAAAAATAATTAAAATAATTAAGATTTGTTCCAAGCAATATGTCTTTTACAGATTTCAATCACAAAAATTTACAAAACGATATTGCTCTCCTACGCCTGGAGCGGCCCTTGGAGCTGACAGAACACATCAACGTCATATGCATGCCGGAGCAGAACGAGGTCTTTGACAGTCACAAGAACTGCATCGCTAACGGATGGGGGAAGGATGTTTTCGGTAAGTTTTGGTCATCTTTAGAGCAGTGCATCTAAGGCTAGCCGGTGGGACTGCTTTTTAGTGGAAACACCACATTATCTTGGCTACTGCATCGCCGCGATGATTTCCTCCGAGAGATGGCGATCCGACAAAAAGTCTTTGGTAAAAGCTGCTGTGGATGTCCAGGGTTTATTAAGAAGTTTAAGCAAAAAACTAAGAATGTAGACACTATCTGGTGTCCGACACCCGTTTAACTTATGGCATTACTTTCCACACAAAGGCCAAGAATGTTGATTTCCGGCCGCAATGTTGTCCTTATAAACGGTATTCAGTTGCCAGTCAAACAGCTACTCATTTAATATCTAAATTTCAAAGACAGTTTCTGATCAAACCAATTCCTCTTGGCCAAGATTATTTCTTGGCGTTTTCATGGTTCACCCTTAATTATAGTGTACATGAGTTACAATTAGCCATAATTATACTTTTCTCTCAGTGCTAATAGAAAGTATAATTCCTGGAGAAAATAGCTTGGTCTCTTACTGCTTCGATGGAAGAATAGACTGAGAGAATTATGATTTGAGTTGACAGAGAAATTTTAATGTAGTATAATTGCGGTTGGGTTGAGTTGGTTGTAATTGGGGACCCAAATATGGGTCGGTTCGACCGGAATGATATTATAGCCTCACAGAAAACCAGTGTTAGGGAACTCGCTGGAGAGAAGGGATGCTATTATTAAGTTTCTACCCCTCTTTTAATTCTTTGAGGAGATCCCAAGGGTAGACATAGCACTTGTGACTTTCAAGCAGCCCAGGCTATACGATTTTTTCGAACCGGGGCAGAAACTTAATAATAGCATCCAGCGTTTAAGATACATAACTTGAGGCAACTCACAAAATATAAAATCGTTTACATTTTTCGTGATTAGGGCATAACAATATTTTGTTTTTATTTTAAACCTTATTATATTATGATTCTGGCGCTGAAACTGCGGCTCGGGACTGGTGCCCCGGTTAGCCCCCCCTCCCTAGATCTGGGGCTGATTACAAGTTGCAGGTGTTCAATAGATATATATGTGGGAAGAGTCACTTACTACCAGGTGACCCGCATACTGAGCCCCCCCTCCCTCCCAAAAGGGCACTCAATACTACTCTCTTACATGCCTACGGTGCTTTTATGTACCTTGAATCGAAACCTTACATTAGATTGGAAAAGTTTTCGAAAAGACCATCAAACACCCTTATGTAATTAGTGTCTCGTTTGTGGTATCAGGTCTGAAAGGCCGTTACGCCGTGATCCTCAAGAAAGTGGAAGTAGACATGGTGCCCCATAGCCGCTGCTCTGCGCTGCTGAAGAAGACCAGGCTTGGAGCTAACTTCAAGCTTCATAACAGCTTCGTGTGTGCTGGTGGAGAAGAGGGCAAGGATACCTGCCAGGTAAATAACTCGTGTAGTAGTTTATTAGAAGAATGATGATCAGAAATGATGAATAGCAGGAAGTATAATAGAAAATAGGGTCGACACAAAATCTCTTCTTTCGTCTTCACTTTATCCCAATTTATTTATTTATAAGTCTGTTTGTCCGTTTATGTTTCTTTCATTGGTCAGAAACCACTTAGAGTTCCGGATTCTTAACTTGTCAGACGAAACATGGCAAAAAGCTATATTAACCACAGTCACCATTTTGTAGGAAGTCTGCTTCAAGACTGGAACGGGATTGGGCAAAATCTCTTTCATTGGGAGAGTCTCTATTCTCTATGCCTCGCTTGGTCCTATTCAAATTTTAAGAATAAAATATCTCCCCCCCCCTCCCTAAAGGTGGAAAATTAAGGGATAAAGTATGCAGTTTATAAAAAATCGATGATGCTTTTTTTTTTTAAAAGTAAATTGCCTGACGACGTCGTCAGGAATGAACCGACAATTAATGGACAAATTTTCAACAGTGTTGTTTTTTTCCAGGGTGATGGTGGCGCCCCCCTGGTGTGTCCTACAGGCAACGATCGGTACAAGCTGACGGGGCTCGTGGCTTGGGGTATCGGCTGTGGGGAGAAGAATGTACCAGCTGCTTATACCAACGTACCCATGTACAGGGACTGGGTTGACAAGAAACTGGAGGATTGGGGATTACTCGTGACGTCATACATTAAAGAAATTAATTAAATATATTGTAAGCCATTTTTATATGAGAGAACAATATTATGACAATTTATTTTTTTGTTTGATTTAAACGTAAAATTGGTTCATAAGGATATTGATGTATTAAATGACGAGACTAGTAGCGACATCTGTTTATTAACTGTGGAAGGTTTATGCCTCGGCACAAACAGGCCAGATCAATCGGAGTTACACCACGGCCTCACAGAAAGCCCCCACATTGTCCCCCTCCCTTAATTCTTAAGAAAGACATTCTAAGAGACACTCTAAAGGCAGCATTCGGTTCTTAGCGTACGCGACGCGCGTTCGCAACCATGCGACTACGCAACCATGGTCCGTAGGTTTCCGATGTCAGCGACGCGATGCTCGAACGCACAGTGTGCAATTAACTTTTGATCTTTAATTATGCCTAAGTCGTAACATACGTACATACAAGGGTCAAAATAATAATAAAAAAACATTACTAAATAAATGTTGTTTATTCTAATGACATTTTATAATTTGGAATTGCTAAAAACTAGTTGATATCTATAACATAAATCACAATCATTTACGAGAAATTGGCTGAATATACAAAAAATATTTACTGTTGGGTCAATACGGATATTTTTTTACCTACCTAGCTTATATTATAACATAATTAAGACTGTCTTTACTTATGTTTGATATTATCTATACTACTATCAGAGTTGAAGAGTTTGTTTCGTTGGCTAAACGCGCTAATCAGGTCCGTGTGGATTGAGGAGCCATTTTTCATCAGCATCACCATCATCTCAGCCGAAAAACGACTACTACTGGACATAGGCCTTCCCCAAGGCTCCCCTCGGAAACCAGTCCTGTGCTGCCTGCATCCAACGGCTCCCCGTGACCCGGGGGACCACTTTATAGAGTGCCTGCCTTCGCTACGTCTTCCGTTACGTGGTCGCCACTCCAGACCCTTTTGGCCCCATCGGCCGCCACTTAAGTGTGGCGTTTATTTTTCAGATACTGACTATGTACGATGTTGATCTGTACATATTTATTTAGTAGAAATGTATACTAAATGTTAGTGTCTATGGCTTTTGTTTCTGTTGTGATCTCAGGTAGATACAGTCGATTATTTGTTATGCAGAATGTCAGGATTGAGGAGCAAAATAAAATGCGTTTATTTACTAAATCCACTCAGTTTTACTATTTTCTCCGGATGCTACAAATTCACAACACACTTGCTACTAAATGTTTTTGGAGTGGAATATAAATTTTTACCTATTACTTTCATAGAAATTTACGCTTAAATATAGATTGAGGACCCAGATTAAAGGTATTGTATTGTATAAGTATTCTTGAATATCAACAATGCTAGATTCGGATTTTTAGTAGGCACTATACACAATTACTAATAAATGACACAATTTTTACAAATATTTATTAAATACTTTCAGGTGGCTCTTTAATTCAGATGTTTAGGATTGAGGAGCCACTTTTACATTGACATAACTTTGGATATATCTTGCTACAAATTTCAGAACTTGTCCTACAAAATTAATGGCTCACCTACTAAATAAGGGGTGAGTTTCCGTTTAAAATCTGAAGTGGCTCCTCAATCCATACGGACATCGCTAATCTCAGGAATTACTGGTTCGAACTTCTGGTCGAGGAAGTCAGATATAGAGATAAGATAAGAGCTGTACACCATCACGCTACGACCGATAGGAGCCGACCATTAATGAAAAATGTAGCAAAAACGGGGAAAGTATTCCTTTTGAGAGATTAAGCGGTCTTCATATATTCATACTGCACGAGATAGATCTAATAATATAATTTAGCGATTATAGCGAAATTTGACAAAACAAGAATTGCTATTTTCTTCGATTCCAATCTTCAGATTCTGTAGCCTTATTCCTTAGCCTTGGTTGTTTATAGTTCTCATTGCAGCTTATTGAAAGGGACCAATTAAACGGTTTTTTGGGCAACAGATATCTAAGTTACTGTCGCATTCATTTTGATCCCTGTAAGTATATAATAATTATAATAGTGGTACAACACTAACATAGGACTAAATTTTTCTGTATTAAGTAGGTCACACACAACGAACATTATGCGTTAAAATTATGGTTCATAATTCTTGCTGCGCCATTTAGTATCGAGCAACGGAAGATTATAGCTAATGGAACTCTGTAGAAATTCTTTATTGTACGTAGATCTGTCTGGAACGTTCCATGGAATCCTCGGGATTATTCTAGTAATTTCGGTAGCCTTAAATAAGCGGAGCGTGTTGACCGTACGGCGAGTTTAGTTTTATGAGACAGCGGATTAACACCTAAACGATCTTCTAGTGCGATCAAGGAGTTATTTAGTTAATTATTGTTACTAGCAACCGAAATTACTAGTATTCCCGTTAACCCCTCCAGCTAAGCTAAATTGCTTGTGTTAGGAGTGGGTTCACGTCGGTAGTGTACAGGTCAGGATTGGAACCCACGACCTCTTGATCGCTAGTCCAATGCCTTAACCACTAGGCTACTGCCGCTTAATGTTGTTTATGTATTGTGTGCTTATGTTAGTCAGAGTCAGTGCTATCCATTTGTTAAGCCTTTTTTATAACATAGGGTCCAAACGAGCACTCGCACCTGACTTGGAACTTTGGGACTCAAAAAAAAAACAACGGGTGAGCTTTCCTAGCTTCCTGTTACACATTTCCGTTACTTTTCAGGAAATCACTAATACAGATTGCAGGAAGGAGAGTAAAGATGTTTTACATCAACAAAAAGCAAATGACACGAAGATTTCACTTTCTATTACTTAATAAGGTATCCGTTTGGTGACTGATTAAGAATACGGAATGTCACCATTCCTATTCATCCCGTGGGTGTCGTAAGAACCGACTACGGGAGCAAACTACGCAGGACAACAGCACTACAAAAAGAAGGCAAACTTGACACAAACCCTATACCAACCCGTCCACCCGCGTGGTATGGTAGGCCAAAAGCTCCTTTCTAAGGAGAGGCCTATGTCTAGCAGTAGACTATTAAATTGATGTGATGTGATGATTTGAATAAGTTCTCTCCCGTTCTTTTCTCGTTTTTTTTGAGTTTGACGCAAAGTGTAATATCGTGGGAGAGCCATGCTTCGGCACGAATGGGCCGGCTCGACCGGAGTGATACCACGGCCTCATAGAAAACCGGTGTTAAGCAATTCTTTCGCTGTTTTTTACTGAGTGAGTGAGGTTACCGGAGCCCAAATCCCTCCTCCCACTGACTCGAGCGGGAGGGACTCCAAGGGCGGCAACGCATTTGTGACTTTTAAGTTGCAGGTGTCCATGGGCGGCGATAGTTGCTTGCCATCAGGTGACCCGTCTGCTAGTTTGCCCCCTTATACCATGAAAAAAAAAAACTGCCAGCCATCTGGTCAGCCATCGGACTGGAATGGGTTGGCTTTTGGAACATAATGGTTTTTAAACCAGAGAAGATAAAAGATAAGTGGAAGAAGCCAGGGTAAGGAATAATGCAAATCACGGATGAGATAACTAGACTGAGGCTTTAGTAGCTCGAAGCTAGGTCGTACCCGTCGAAATCAATTCTGTAATTAGAGATTTTTACCAAACTGTGCTAGTTTATGTGTGTAAATTTCTTTGGCTCACTCTGAGGCCCAAGTGCGATTTTATTTCATATCTACTCGACCGTCACGGTGACGGCGTTCGGCGCTACGATTGGCCCGCACTGAAATCTCCACCAATCGCAAAGACAAACGCGCTCGCTGTCGTGGATTCTCTGTACTCTTAACGGCTTGATATATTTTGGCGTTTGAGGTGTCGTATAATTCGTATTAAATGTAAGGGTATATGAAAATTATATGGTCATCAGTTGGTTTTTGGAACAAAGTGCCTTTTCGCGCGTTATACGCCCTGGGCAGATGGGCGCGAGACCAAAAAAGTGTAACAAAACTTTTTCCAACACTTCAGTTGGTGCGTTGACGCTCACATCTTTTTCATATCTATACTAATATTATAAAGCTGAAGAGTTTGTTTGTTTGAACGCGCTAATCTCAGGAACTACTGGTCCGATTTGAAAAATTCTTTCAGTGTTAGATAGCCCATTTATCGAGGAAGGCTATAGGCTATATATCATCACGCTAAGACCAATAGGAGCGGAGCACCAATGAAGAATATTTCAAAAACGGAGAAAATTTATTACTATTGAGAGACGAAGACGAAGTTGCGCGGGTCAGCTAGTTTCGTATAAATAGCAAACGTCTACCAAAAAGCGAAAGGAACTTCATTCCGACCGGGGGTCTACCTCATGCCGTTCATTTTCAATAATTTCTTATATTCAGTAGTTTATTCCACTGAAGATAAGTTAATTATAATTTAAATGATGTAACTTGAACTCACCTATTTAGATCAATTAGCGTGATCTCACACATATAGTATGGTACACATCCACAGCTTTCAACTTCTGTCTTATCCAGCGTGGTCTTGCTATCCGCAGACTCCACAGACGTGTGACTCTGTAAAAATCAGAAGTCAAAAGTGTCAAAATACAGAAGGCTCATCACGACGGCGATGAATGATATGGCGCATAATAATTATCTATACTAATATTATAAAGCTGAAGAGTTTGTTTGTTTGTTTGTTTGAACGCGCTAATCTCAGGAACTACTTGTCCGATTTGAAAAATTCTTTCAGTGTTAGATAGCTCATTTATCGAGGAAGGCTATAGGCTATATATCATCACGCTAAGACCAATAGGAGCGAAGCACCAATGAAGAATGATTCAAAAACGGAAAATTTATTACTATTGAGAGACGCAGACGAAGTTGCGCGGGTCAGCTAGTATTAAAATAACTTGATACATCACAGACACGGCAGTCTGACCCCAAACTAGGCAGAGCTTTGGTAACCAGACTGCTGATAAACATACTTATATATTTCTTAATTGGACAGCCACTTGCATCTATTAAATTGATATTAATTCAAAACATTTAAGGGCGTCACATCATGCATAAATATGAAACTAAAAACAGAAAAATATCTATGGGAGTTAACAATAAACTGAACAAAAATAAAACACCCAAACGAACTACAATTGACGAGATTATTACTATTATACAGGGTGTAAGGGACGTCGTAACTAATACTGAAATAAAGTATTCAGACCATCACTCTGAGTCGAAAATCATTGGCATTTTCTGCCGGAAAATTAAACATTTTATGCAATCAGCTCTGAATTCTTCGTAGGTATCGCACAAAAGTAATAACTTCATTTGTATTCCATGCAAACAGTCTACGCACACTACGACAAGTTGGCGGCCGCTGGGCCCACGCTTCGGCTGTTTGAAATATTACATTGCAGTTTTAGACCGTTTTCGGTATTTATTTTTAAAAAATCGGTCTAATGTTCTGTTTACTCATTGTGATATCATTTTCAATCAAAAAATGGAAAAAAAAAAATGAAACTTTGTTAGCGAGGGTCTGTTTAGATACAAAAATATTAAAGACCAGCGTCGGTAGGTGCATGTCGGTTACCTCGGTAACAAGTAGCCTATAACCTTCCAGACAACTTAAACTATCTCTATACCGAATTCCGTCTTATTCGGTTCAGCGGTTATCGATTCCCCATACAAACTTCTTTCCCTTAATTGATGATTTCTGGGATAAAAACTATCCATGTCTTTTCTTGGTACTTAAACTATCTCTACACCAAATTTCATTTTAATCGGTTCTGCGGTTTAAGCGTGAAGAGGTAACAGACAGACACACTTTGGCATTTTTAATATTAGTGTGGATAAATACTTACCTCTGACAACGACTGCGTTGAAGGAGGAACAGAATCACTTTTATTGCATTTATTTGCATTTTGTACCACGCCGTTTGTAGCCGTGAGAGTTATGAGAATACCCACAATGAAGAGATGCATAATTCTGTAAAAAAGAACACAATAAAAAAATACTTGACACGTCACACATACGGCTGTCTGAGGTCTCTATTCAGCACATATAGGCCGACTCGGCCGAAGTGGTACCATGGCCTCTTGCCGAGTGAGTGAAGTTACCAAGGAGATCACTAGTGTCATTCTCTAAGGAAACAGCCTTGCATACAGCGCTGCCACAGCATCGAACTTCAGACTGAGTTCGTTTGAAATTCGACGCTACAGCGCTGTCAAATTTCAAACTACTTTAGTTTGCTGTTACAGCGCTATACGCAAGGCTGTTTTCTTGCTGATCTCCTTGGTAACTTCACTCAATCGCCAAGAGGCCATGGTACCACTTCGGCCCAGCCGGCCCATATGTGCTGAATAGGGATGGAATAACATTACAATCACCTGTTATCTATACTAATATTATAAAGCTGAAGAGTTTGTTTGTTTGTTTGAACGGAACTAATCTCAGGAACTACTGGTCCGATTTGAAAAATTCTTTCAGTGTTAGATAGCCCATTTATCGAGGAAGGCTATAGGCTATATATCATCACGCTAAGACCAATAGGAGCGGAGCACCAATGAAGAATGTTTCAAAAACGGAGAAAATTTATTACTATTGAGAGACGCAGACGAAGTTGCGCGGGTCAGCTAGTAAATCATATAATCACACCTGTGACTAACTTACAAAACCACTGCGAAGTGCCAGACTCGCAAACGGTCTAAATCTACAAAAAAAGGTCGTAGTCTGATAAAAGTTTTGTATTTTCTCTGCTCTCTTTGCCCAGTAGTAATTTATCACAGGGGATATCGCAGTGACTAAAACCAATCATTTCATAATATGATTATGGTTTCAAAGTAGCAATAATTGCCATCACTAGTGCAGAAGCGTTATTAACTTCATTTATCTACTTACTATATACTATGGTACTACCGTACACCGTGTGGTGGCGGATTATGAATACAGAGTGTCACCACCCCTATTCGTCCCGTGGGTGTCGTAAGAGTCGACTAAGGGAAAAAACTACGGAGAACAACGGCACTGCAGAGAGAAGGAAAACTTGACACGAACCCGTCTTGGCCAAAACCTCCTTTCTAAGGAGAGGCTTGTGTCCAGCAGTGGACTGTTAAAAGCTGTTGATGTGATGTGATGATGGTACTAAGAGTACATACCTATTCTTAAGTTATGATGACACTGACTATTCTTACAGACGCTAACAGTGTACTAGTCTAGTAGTGTGTTACAAATATCTACAAATAATCGCAAAACCAGTCATTAACGCTCATTAATTAAATACAAGAGATAAGAACAGGTTTCTAAGCATGTCATCGACTTGTTGTCTAACGAGGTTAAGTTGAGTTTAGTTCACACACAGACAAATGTTGACTGCGCGGATGGCGTAGAAGTTTTAAGCGGTAGCCACGCCGCTTTTTACTATGCTGGGTTTTGTGGTTTCGATCCCTACATGGGATCCACAAACTGTCATTCTGAGTCTGGGTGTTCTTTGTGTCCGTGTGTTTGTAAAGTCTCCCGCGACACAAGATGTATTTCTAGTGCGGGAGTGGTCTTCTAAAAAAATGTTTTTTTGTTATGGGAGGTAAAGAAGTTCATCATCATCATCATCAGCCTATCGCAGTGCTGCTGCACTGCTGGACAAAGGCCTCTCGGAGAGGCCTTTGTCCAGCGAAATCGACTGCCAGAGTAGTAGTGATACTCCGAGACATAGGACATACAACTTGCGGCGGTTGTAATATAAATACAATTCTGGAGATGATAGAGCTAGATGCGAGTAGCCCAAAATCGATCTAACTGGCGTCCAAGGGGAGAGGCCCTCTCCCTTTGGACGCCACTTAGATCGATTTTTTGTCTATACTTACGGTACGAGTACAAAGGTTAACAGCTGGGTCAGTTAGAATAGAAAGTGAACCACTTGCCCTGGGTATTTGGCTAAGGTACAACAGCTGATCAGCTGGGCAAGCTGACATACCTATCCTTAGTACTTATATCAGCTAGCTGGTATAGTTATTAGGGCAAGTATGACATAATCTTGGGGCAGTGGGGCAGTAACCCAATCAGTATATACATTCATAGTGTTGCGCCAATAGGATTAAATGGTTCGATTGTATGGAATGTTGAGGACAGCGCCATCTAATATCGAGTCAAGTACATCTATTAAGATTGTGGTTAATACAAGTACTTCTGATCCTTACAGCGCTAGGTGGCGCTGCAAGTAACGCGTGACTGATTCTGGAATATTCTTGTTGTCTGGAACGGACTATCGATCTTATTAGTAAAATTCAAATGCGGAGCGTGTTGGCTGTTTGGGACAGTTTCGTTTTACGACACAGCGAATTAATATCGGAGTGAATTTTTAGTGCGACTACCAAGATATAAAGTGATTTCTAGTTTATTATAGTGAGTGTTTGTAAATACAGTGCAATAAAGTAAATAACCGACAACTTTTATTAATTATATACACCGCTCGTATCAATAATATTCCAGAAGAGGCAAACAAATATTGACAAAGAAGTTCTTCATTAAATATATTTATTATTCATTCTTAACAGTCTATAATCTCCAGGCTGCCATTTTCTCGTCGACCCATTTTCTAAACTTGGAGACATTTGTGTACACTGCTGGAATATCTTTCTCACCGCAACCGATACCCCAAGCGACGAGTCCAGTTAACTTGTACCTGTTGTTGCCTATGGGACACGCCAGGGCGGCGCCACCATCGTGCTGTTGAAACAGATTAATTATTTATTTTTAATGTGTTCGGTGGTAGTTCTACAGATCAAATTGGATCAAATACTGCTATGTTATTTAAGATGACAGTTGACAGTATTGTATTGTTGTTTTCTGACACCTGACAGATGGTTATCTGCTTCCAAAATAAACACAGGAGAGCCAGACTGTTAATAAACATAGTAATTTATTTCTAAATTATTTCTTATCTAAACAAATTTTTCTTTCTTGTTCTGCTTTTTAAAAGACAACTCCCGCATTAGGAATATATCCTGTGTCGCAGGGGACTTTATAAACACACGTGAAACACAAAGAACATCTGGACTCAGAACAACAATTTGTGGAACACACAAAGTGTCGTTTCCATGTTGGGATCGGACCCACAACACTCAGCGTAGTATTAAGCGGTGTGGCGACCGCTTAAACCACTACGCCATCCGTGCAGTCATATTATAGAGAAAATACTCATGGGAATTGAAACCACAACCAGAAGTCTAGACGGAGCCGGAAGCTGGTTTTCCTGAACCCTTGGACTGACGTATTATTTAGACTAGAATACCAATAAAAAACATATTTTGCACGAAGTGGTAATCGAAGTTTCGTTCATTACATCGGAAGCAATGCCAATACAATATTTGTACCTGTTTTTTATTTTTAAATAAACAAACCTTGCAGTTATCCCTGCTGTCTTCACTGGCACACACGAAGCTCTCGTGTAGATTAAACCCGTTGCCGAGTCTGGTCTTCTTCATCAAACTCTCGCATTCATCATGTGGAACCATATTCTGTAACACTTTCCTCAAAATCACAGCATACTTGCCTTCCCGACCTGGTGTAGAAAATAACATGGTATCAGAAAATATAAATCTTCCTGCGAGCCTTTTTTTTTGTTTAAAAAAGACAACACCCGCATTATAAATATACCCTGTGTCGCGGGGGACTTTACAAATATACATGAAACGGACACAAAGAACACCCAGACTCAGAACAACAATTTGTGGATCACACAAAGTGTCCTCCCACGTGGGGTTTGAACCCACAACACTTGATGTAGTAGAAAGCGGCGTGGCGACCGCTTAAACCACTACGCCATCATCATTTTCATTTTTTCCAAATTAGATTTGGGTTGGTTTTAAGTCTATTACGATACGGCTGAATTTCGATTTTTCGATTCGACTACAATCAGACCTCAACTACACAAGTACTATAACCCGGCAATCTCGTGCGCGACCGTCCCGCGGGGTGACAGACAGTGGCGAGGTAGCGCGTCATTCTAGCACACGGCTACACACGACGACGACGTTTCTCTTCCCCGCTACACCACCCGCTCCCCGCTGACATCTTAAGTACCTCGTCCCCGCCACCGTCTGTCACCCCACAGGACCGTCGCGCACGACGTTGATGGACTATAGGTGATATTGAAGTTCTTTAGAAAGACTGTCGAAATTTTTAGGGCTTCAACTATCCGTAACGATTGCCAAAGATGTTCGTATAGCAACCGGGACCAACAGCTTAACTTCTCCGAGGCACGGAGGGGTCTCAATGTGTTAAGAGTGGTCACCCATCCATAGACTGACCTGGCTTGGGTTGCTTAACTTTGCAATGGGTTAACCTACTCGGTTACCACTGAGCCACGAGCCCCTCATCCATCATAAGATCCCATTCATCCATCCCATAATAAAATAACCATCATGTAAAATAAATATACATTTGTCTATGTTATGTATTTATATGTATAAGTATATTTTTAGAATTTTTTTTTTTTATTTTTATTTTTTTAGGGATAACAACAGCTGCAATTCTTAACTATGTAGTAAACTATGATTACATGAGTAGCCAATAAAAGTTATCCACGGTAGATAAAATGAAATGTACACGGTTGACTTTAAAAAGCTTGCTACTTATACTTTAAAAAATAATAATTACGTTGTGGCGACATCTACATACAGTGAAAGAAAGAACATATTGCCATCTATCGAAGACACGCTGAACTACGTGTTAACTGCAAAACCTGTATCGCGATATGAAAAGTTCTCGCGCCAATTAGCATATATACAACTTCCTAACGTCAACCAAGCATGATCACCTCGCCTGGTTGGTGCTTCGTGCCCTTATTTAACACCCGTTCCTCCACAACGTCATTCATGGAGATTATTAATCAATTCAATAATAATATGTCCACAATTTATCTGATAAACCATAAACAAATTTCAAAACCTATTACATACCGAAGAGATTTTTGCCCCATCCGTTTGAAACACAGTCTTTGTAGCCGTCAAAAGCTTCATCCTGGTCCGGCAAACAGATGGCGTTGATGTGGTCAGTTAGTTTCAAAGGTTGCTCAAGACGTAACAGAGAGATGTCGTTTTTTAATGTTTTTGGTTGGAATTCTGTGGAATCAAAATAATATTTATAAATTAGTATGGATCTGTATAGATTACTGTTTTTGTAATGAAAACGTTCGCTAAACGTACAATTTATTAAAGTTAATTTTTGCATACACAAAAACATCACAGAAAGCTGATGTTAAACAATACTTCGCAGCTTTTGCCGAGTGAGTGAGTGAGTGCCTACGATTTTTGCGACCTTGAGCGACGGATATTATTCCAATCTGTTAAGCCATTCTGACGCAGTTGAGTAACAAATATCGACTCAAACTTTTACATTTTTGAATATGCTGGTGTAATTTTATAGTTCTCTCTCTCTCTCTCTCTCTCTCTCTCTCTCTTCTATAAATGGTGTAGCTCTCTAAGAAGACATTAATAATAATATTAACCATAAACACATCTCACACACGGCCGTCTGATTCCAAACTAGGCAGAGCCTGTACTACGGTAGCCAGACCGCAGTTAAACATACTTTTACATTTCTTGATACGTAATTATATATTTTAGATGAATCACAACCAGATACAGAATAAATGGTCGCGCTCAACAAACAATTTATTTGTCCTGGTTGGGAATCGAACTCACGACCTCTGCTTAGCAGTCAGGGTCATTACCCACTATTTCTTTATCTTTTTAAACACACAACTCCCGCATTAGGAATATATCCTATGTCGCAGGGGACTTTAAAAAATACATGAAACGGATACAAAGAATACCCAGACTCAGAACAACAATTTCTGGATCACACAAAGTGTAAGTAGTAGTTGTAGTAGTGAATCAAAGATCCTCTATCCTCAATACTTACCTTCATGAAGGTATGTCTCACTCACTTTTCTTTCTTGGTGTTCATAGATCTCATTGACAGTCTGTGTGTCCCATTCTCCTGCTCGAATCTTGAAGGTACCTGGTGCAAATCTGTTGGAGCAAACCAAGTCCTTTGAATCACCAATATTTTAACTTTTGGCTTTAAAAACCTCCGTTCCAGAATATACATTAGAAATTTTATAGTTTAAATTTGGGCAACGTTTAACAACGTTTTGATTTTTTTAACCGACTTCCAAAAAGAAGGAGGTTCTCATGTGTCTGCATCATTTTTTTATGTATGTTCACCGATTACTCGAAGACGCCTGCATCGATTTGGAAAATTATTTTTATGTTTTAAAGGGTATACTTCCCAGGTGGTTCCATTTAAATTTTATTGAAATCGGTCAAGCGGTTTCTGCAAAATCAACAAAAAATCTGAATATGGTATACATCGATTATATTTTTGTTTACTTACGAAACCTTGCTGAGTCATTGGAGCAGTGCGTTTAGTTGGTTATTGTTCGTATTGTTTGAAGTCAGTTCAACTTTTTCTCAAAAGGATTTATTAAGGATAAAACTCGCTCTAGCAATGATTTAAATATACGACAGACATACACACATACAAGTACTTGTTCATCAAACGACTTTTATTATCGTGTGGGAATATAACTCTACGCTACGTAGTGGCTTGGCAACCACTTTAACCATTGCAGTATACGTGAGTAAAATTATTTTATGAAGCAACATGCTAGTCTCTTATAATAAGCACTTATTAGCCTTCTGAAACTATCATTTAGGCGTAATTTTTTTATATTTCAGAAAAGATCCCAATTTCCTTGTTTACATCGCTACCTACAATCAATGCAAATAAAATATATTCTATAAAAAATCTATTCCCGTATGAAAGAGACCCAATGCAACGTGTTTGCATCAGGGTTTAAAATAAATGAATGTTAATGATGAGTTAAATGAATATTATAACGAACAAAAACTGCTAGAAAGTGTCCAGAAGAATTTGGAAATGCGAGATAGAGCAGTGGTGGCTGCACAGATGGCGTAGTTCTTTAAGCGGTCAGCTCACCACCTTCTACGACGCTAAGTGTTGGGGGTCGATCCCCACATGGGACAACACTTTGTGTGATCTATAAATTTCTCTTCTAAGTCTGAGTATTCTTGTGTAAGTTTCATGTATGTTTGTGAAGTCCCCCGCGTCACAGGATATATTCAACTTTTGGCTATATGGATTTTTGGATATATTCAATTCCTAGGGCGGGAGTTGCCTTTGAAATAACAAAAATTGTTAGTGATTTTTACCTTTTAGCTATATGAGCAACAGTCATCACCACTTCGGGGCTAATGATTACTCCGGCACCCGCGTACGTGTTGTTAGAGTCCAGTACAGCAACTATCCACGGGAACTCGCCGAATTTTGTTTCTGTTCCCTGGAAAATGAAATTGTGCATGAAGGGAATTTCTATACGTAAGGGCACCTCAGTGCCAGCTTCTCCCTCTAGACCGCATCGAACGAAGAGCGAAGAACAAACATCTCCGATGGGCCTGATCCCTTAGTGTTACGTAGAGATGTGACTTCACTCTGCATTCTCTATCGCATATATCATGGTGAGTGCTCCTGAAACTGTTTAAACTTCCATCTTGACATTCCCCGAAGACTTTTCTAAAATAATTTTTAATACTCACTGCGAAGGCTCGTCCAAAACCTTCAAGGTTTCTGTAGCCGCACCCCTTGACCTTGGAGGAATCTGGTTGTGGCTTCTGCTTCTGAAGTATGTGGTGTGTGGGGCAGCAGATTTCCGAGAAATGTGAGCAAGGACTGGCTCTGGAATGGTAAAATACTCAGGGACTTAAAGCTTGTATTGTTATACATATTTATTTTTAATATATACTTATTATAATTAAATATTTATTAATACTTAATTATAATGAATTATGAGTACTTGATTATAATTAATATTCAATTATAATACTTATTATATTTCTGTCCGTGTGGTGACGGCTTATTATGAATACGGAATTTCACCACCCCTATTCAACCGGTGGGTATCGTATGAGCCGACTAATGAAGCTAATTACGCAAGACACAGCAAAAAAAAGAAAACTTGAAAAACCTTATACCAACCCGTCTGGCCAGCGTGGTATAGTAGGCCGAAACCTCCTTTCTAAGAAGGAGAGGTCTATGTTCGGCAGTGGATTATTAAAGGCTGTTGATGATGAATTATGTAGGCATATAGAATCATTCTGATAGTAATCACAGCAATTCAGAACACAAGAACTTTTAATAGAGAAGTTCGAAGAAATGAACCGCCCGGTATACCTGGCATTTATAGATTATGTCAAAGCATTTGACTCCGTCTCGCACTATAGTATATGAAGAGCTTTACAAGAGTGTGACGTACCCTCAGAAACTATTGAACTTATTCAAGATATATATAAGAAAGTAAAAGTAAAGTTATACTAGAAAAATCAGGGTCTGAAATAGATATATATATATATATATATATATATATATATAGAGGCGTCCGGCAGGGTGACCTGCTGTCGCCCAGCATTTTTATAACCGTGCTCCAAAATGTTATGAAGAGTCTGAAATGGAAGAATAGGGTATACTCATAAATGGCAAATATTTTAGTAATCTCAGGTTTGCTGATGATATAGTTCTCTTTGCGGAAACTGCATCGGAACTAGAAATTATGATAAGAGAAATACACAGGGACAGCCTTGAAATTGGTCTACAATTGAACACAAGAAAAACAACAATTAGTACAAATAGTAAAACGGACCCGTAATATTTGTGGCCGTGGTGCTTCCCTGTTTAAAAGGGTGTATGCCCATTTTACTTCATTTTGTCTCCAGCTTTGCTAAGGAGGGAAGTGGATTTACTGTATTTCCAACTCCTCCAATTTTCTTCTGATTAATTTCGTTGCGGGTTCCAAGACAGTTTAATTTCTTCCCGGGACTTCCCGAGTGTCATAACTCGGTGTGTTCGTGGTCACTGCTGTGGATCCTGGTGTACAGGAGTTACAGTGGTGGGCGTGTGGGTGGGATTAGTCCAAATAGTAAAACGGTTCCAATAATAGTTGACAATGCTCAAGTAGAATATGTTCATGAATATATCTCGGCAAACAAACGTCATTCAAAAATTCTAGGCACCGAGATGAACCGAGATGAAGATGAAATAGACGAGTAAACATGGCCTGGAATAGGTTTTGGAGCCTAAAAGAAGTCCTCAAGTCAAATCTTTAGATGAGACTAAAGAAAGTCCTAGACTCTTGTGTTCTACCGTCACTCACTTATGCATCGCAAAGATGGATTTTCAACAAATTTGCAAAAAACAAGATAGTAACAACTCAAAGAGCAGTAAAAAGGGTTACTACATGGAACGGTCAGTTGGGCAAGCGTAGTAGAGGTAGGCCAATGGAAAGATGGCTCGACGAAATTCTAAAGATAGCGGGCGACAACTGGACGAAAAAGGCAATGAACAGCGACAAGTGGGGGAAAATGGAGGAGGCCTTTACTCACGAGGGAGGTCCTTAATACTATCAATGACTAGCAAAAGGAAAGATAATAATAATATTAATAGATAATGCAATACATTAATGAAATTAAAAACAAAATAACCGGTGTAAAATAACAACAAATAATACTCGTATATGGATGTTAATTTTTATGTAAAATAGCGTTTTTATATTGATTTTATTTTTTTTGTATTTTATTTACATTCAAGTGAAGAGTTGAATTGAATGGAAATAAATATAATTGTAGATGGGTATATATATTTTATCGTAATTGTATTTTATTAAGGAATAAACAAGGCTTAAAATAAATAAATAGAAGCATTCAGACCAATGCAATACACATATATAAATTTACACATACCAATATTAGTAAGGAGTGGGAATCTAGAATTTATGTTTACACAAAGCAAGCTATAAATTGCCAGTATAACCTGAACTGTCATTTTATAAACTCTCGTACAACTTTTAACATATTTGGTACCTAAATGTATATGTAAATATCCCCGTTACAATAGCCCAAGGTGGGGCTTCACTTAAAAGAGAATAAACAGGGCTAACACACATCCAAAAAAAAATAAAAAATATTAAAATAAATAATAGTTTAAAAAACTAAAAAACACGCTTTTTATAGAAAACCAAACTAAAAAATATAAAATAAATTTTAATAAATTTGAAAAAAAAGCGTGGGGTGCTTTTTAGTATTGACATCACACAATTATAAAAAGAGTGTTTTTTAGTTTTTTTAAACTATTTTTTTTTAAATTAGTGTATTGTCATCGGTCATCGATATATCTACAAAGTTTGAACGAATTCTGACCGTTTAAAGTCAGTCAAAATCACGCCCAAAGGATATAAACAAACATACAAGCGAAGCTAATATAAAGCGTGTAAAAATGATTCATTTGCTTCAAAAATATATTTTTTGTCGGACTAGTGCGATACGTAAAGCCCCTCTTTACGTATCGTTTTATATGTTTGACCTTACTATGATAAGCCTAATATTTTGAGTTAGACAGAGCTGTCATTATTGCCACACTGGATATTTAACACCAATGACGTTGAGGTGGCATTCAGATTTAAAAAAAATGTCTCCATAAATAAAATATAGAAACAAGTTACCGTAAAAGTAGGCATTTAAAAGAAAAAGCATATTCTGAGTATTTTTAATGAAGAATCCATTTTTCTTAGGTTTTAAATCAACAACTTTCAGATTTGCTTATTAAAATTTGACCTTCTTTTTGTGACATTCTGTCTGTTTAACTCACCTATATCCCAGTTTACGTGAAGCCTCCAAGGCTGCGTCATAGTCTTCGGCGTTGCACATATAATTTGGAACACACTGACAGGCATCTCCTTTCTTCTCAAGCAGAGTCGTGGGAATTTTCGTAGATATTGACCAAATCTGAAAAATATCTCTGCTTGAAATCGGTACTTTTGTAGCCTGAAGACAGCCTATCGATAAGCTGCCCTTTAGTTTAGATAGGTGTTGTACAAATGGATCCCCAGGAGCCTTAATTAAACCACTGACTCTTAACAACTAGTTTTATTTATCACTAGGTTACACTTCACACAATAGGTAAAAGGATGTTCGTTCAATACAAAGAAATCAAATCAATTTATGTTGATTGCGGTAACGAAACCATAACGCGATTTAGCAAAACGGCACAGCGACATCTATCGAAGAGCAATGTAACATATTTCAATTTATACATTCCGCCCACCAAGGACATATTAATAAAACTATGTCCTTAATAATGTAAAATAACTGATTCCGCCCACCATGAGGTAAAGGGGATTGGTAAACAAAACTAATGAAATCCTCCCACCATGAGGTCAAGGGGGATATGTGGTAAGACTTACGACTACAAGCTATACTACTGAAACTTACAACTAGATTATCAATCTGCTATTGGCAAAACACACAATTTATTTGTTGGCCGTTTAAAAACAGAATCCTTGCATTTCAAAGTTACGACTCTAGTGATTCCGTCCGAACCCGGGTGTTTTAATAAAACCCTACCGAGCAACCACCTACAAAATTCTTTCCGTTGTCACTCCAAAGGTCACTGCAGTGACCTCGTCTGGCAATGAATCTTTTAAACGCTGCAATAAAAGATTGTGACGTGAGATCGCTTACGACCTCCAAGTGCACCGCTCTCGTAACCATACATACAAACAAAGATATGTATCCCTTATAGGACTTGTTGCCGCGACCTTTGGACACTCTAATATTGATTGGACCTGCAAAGTCCACTCCACTGTGTACAAATGCTCTGGCTGGTGTAACTCTGCACAAGGGTAATTGTCCCATGAATTGGTTTTTAAATTTAGCTGAGTGTCGGAGACAAGTTACACATCTACGTGCAAATGATTTGACTGTGCCTTTTGCCGAGATTATCCAGTATTTCGAGCGCAAGTAATTCAACATTAGAGTGGGTCCTCCATGAAGTGTTTTTCTATGGGCTTCATCAACAAGCAGGCCAGCTAGGTGACTATGTTGAGGAATAATAATGGGGTGTCTCATGCTTTCAGAGAGTTGAGCATGTTCTATTCTTCCTCCTACTCGCAGTATTCCTCGTGAATCCAGTATGGGACATAGTGCCTTTAATTTGCTTTTAGTCTTAACTCTTCCTGATCTCTTAACATCGTCTATGTCTTCACTAAATGATTGCCGTTGAAAATCTCTAATACAAATTTCCAGGGCCTCATCTAATTCCTCGCTGGTCAGGTAAGTGTGTCCTTTCCTATTTATTTTAAAAAATCTTCTGCAATACGCCACAACTCGGACCTTGGTTGTCGTTTTATCCTCCCGAACTACGGCGTGGTGAGGTAAGTACACAGCCTCCGTTCTCTGAGTGTCCGTTACGGGATTGATTACTTCTATGTGACCAAGGTCGAGGTATTCTTGAATGACCTCAGTATACTTCTGTTTCATCTCTGGATCCTTCTTAAAACGACGTTCAAGAAGGTGAAATCGTCGAAGCGCAATGTCTCTGGTATGGCCGTATTTGCACTGTGGGTCTGAGTCTCTAAATGGTAAACTGACAACATACCGACCAGTGCTGTCTCGTTGAGTGGTTTGCTTGAAGAAGTCTTCGCATAACTGCTCTTCCTGGGTAAGTATTTTCTTCTTACTGTATGCGTCAGATTCGATTTCCCAAAATCTTTTAAGCATTTCATTGTCACTGATCTGCGAATGCATGCTTACCAATGCCGGGTGACAATGTGCTGAATCCAAATTCGAATCTCTGTGTGTTCGACCAGACAAAATCCAACCTAACCGTGTATTTTGTGCTATCAAGGGTCCAAGAGGGTGCTTGATTAAACCCTCTTTGAGTACCTGGCCATAAACTTCAGCTCCAAGCAAAATATCGATTTTGTTTGGATTGTGGTACTCTGGATCTGCTAAAACTATTTCTTCTAGTTGATGCCACGTTGGTACTAATACTTTATCACCTGGAAGTAACGATGTAATATTGCCCAAAACATATGCCTGAACTTGGATGTGAAAATTAGGATCGTGACGTGATTTAATAGTTACGAAAACGATAAACTTGGAGACCATAGCTCCACCGTCACCTCCTATGCCTGAAATGACACCTCTTGCGGGTGTCTTTTTGAGTCCAAGTAACTGAACTGCTGATTCGGTTATGAACGACGTCTGGGATCCTTGATCCAATAACGCCCTCAGCAGGTGGTTGTATCCGTTGCCTGTCTGTGCTTCGACAAGAGCGGTTGCTAATAAGACCTGATTTGGAACAGCCTTCTTACTAAAGTGAGTGGTTAAAGCGGCAGCATTTAATTCCTGCTCCGCATCGCAAGCAGTACTCGATGTAGCTACTGCCGACTTGACTACTGACGTCGTCTCTGCAATGCCTCTAGACGACGTTGATCCTGAGGATTCCTTAGGGTGTAATAAAGAGTGGTGTTTGCGATTGCAAATCTGACAAGTGGTGGGGACACGACAAAACTTAATAGAATGATTCGACCCTAAACAATTAAAGCATAAGCCACTAGTTCGAACGAAATCACTACGTGTTTTATAGTCATTTTTACAAAACTGTTTACAGTGACTAAGTTTGTGGGGTTGTTTACAGAATGGACAGCTTGCTTTAATAGGGGTATCATTTTTGGAAGCAACCGCATGAAGAACTCTTGGTTTGTAACTTGACCTTTGTCTACCACTCTGTGTATCCAAGTACTCTAATGACCGAAATCGAGACTCTAGAAACGTTTTAAATTTGTCAAATGTTGGTAATTCCTCACAGGTACCAACCGTTGACTCCCATAATTTTCGTGACTCGCTATCTAATTTTTCGCTGATTAAGTATATTATTATAACATCCCAAGAGTCAACGCCAACACCAATAGTGGATAGGCCATTTATGCAGTCTACAGTTGTGTCCAAGAGTTCCTTAATAGCGCCTGCTGATTCCAAAATATTCGATTGATTTATTAATCTCTTTAACATAGCGTTACACAAATACCGCTTGTGGTCATAACGCTTAGTTAGCAACTGCCAGCATTCCTGGTAATTGGCAGCTGTGACTGGAGTGTGGCGCAACAATTGTTCTGCCTCACCCGCCAAATGACCTTTTAAATAATGTAACTTCTGTACATCATCAATTGCATCGTTGTTGTGAATTAGCGATAAAAATAGATCACGAAATGATATCCATTCTGTATATTTTCCCGAAAACATTGGAATAACGACTTTAGGTAATTTAACATTATTATACATCTTTATTACCGGTTGCTTATCTGAACCCTTAGTCGGCTTTGCAAGTTTTGAAATGTGTTCTCTCAACTCTGATTTGTATAAAATATAACTTTCTTCGGTGCTATCGTATGTATCTGCTTTAAAATAACTATGTTCATTATCTTTTGCAAGTTCTACTATCTTTCTATGTGTTTCTACAAAAGACTTCCATTGTTGTTCCAAAGTTTCCAATCTGGTCTCCAGGAACGAAGGTGTTAGACGTTCTTTAGGCGATTTTTTATAATTTACTCTGCCCTTCTCAATGGAATTCTTTGCATCATTTTGCAACTTTATTAATGCTTCCATGTTGAAGTTAGAAGTTTTTGCTTGAATGCGTCACTCACTTACTCCAAATTTACAATACTTCTTAATTTCTCCGATAGGGGGCGCTTGTAACTCCTCCACACCACCGCTATTATTCGCCTGTATTGTCCGCTTCAATGACACTCCGCTGTATAATGCGCTTTCAACACGCTGCTGACAGCCAAGTGACTCCACACCCGTGGCGCCCTCTGCTGTTGACGGAATACGTCGCTGAGGCCTCTTCGTGGCGCTAAGCGGCGGCAGCACTTCAGAGCGATCCACTCTGATTTCTACGCTGGTGAAGCACTAAAAATTGCACGCGTCGACACTACCGCGCACTGTATCCGGCTGAGAAGGACCATGTACAAATGGATCCCCAGGAGCCTTAATTAAACCACTGACTCTTAACAACTAGTTTTATTTATCACTAGGTTACACTTCACACAATAGGTAAAAGGATGTTCGTTCAATACAAAGAAATCAAATCAATTTATGTTGATTGCGGTAACGAAACCATAACGCGATTTAGCAAAACGGCACAGCGACATCTATCGAAGAGCAATGTAACATATTTCAATTTATACAGGTGTCGTAAAACATGTTTGCGAAAATTCAGAGAGAGAAAATGTTGGTCCTCCTGAAATCTCGTATTGTGGAGCTGGGCTATATTACCGCATTTAGACTCAAAAACGGAACATAAGGCTGGTTAGAAGAACCATCCTAGCTTCTTCCACAAGTACAGAACCCTCCCAGGGCATTCGAGGACTTCTAAGAGCGATCTTGTCCCGGCAAAAAGACTCGCCACTCTTGTGAACTCCATGATAACGTGGGCACCTATTTCCTCTGCCATTGATACATATCCTAAGTAGAGGGCTATCCGTCAGATTGATGGAGAATAGCTGTTGGTTCAGGGCCTGATGACCCGTAATTGATTTCCAAGAGAAAGCTGCTGTAGTGTACCTATGTATGTATAAATGTATCTCACCTCTGAAGAAGCAGTTGTTGGAGGAGTAAAAGCATCTTTGATTATGACGTTATTCAAGTCGTATACCACGGTGTTCGAGCTTGCAAGAGCTACAAGAAGAAATAGAAGAAAGAGACGCATGATTCTGTAAGAGAAGATATAATACACATTATAATCTATACCTATAATAAAGGTGATTTTTTTTCCCCTTTTGTTTGTTTAGACGTGATAATCTCTATAAACATCAGTCAGATTTGAATGTGTGTGATATTTTGGTATAAATCTATACGCTAAAACGCCTAGGAGAGTACAAATGACCAAACAAAGATTTTTTGTAAACATCCGAAGATTTTTAATCTTAGATCATTTATTATCTAGATTTAGTGTCGCACTACAAAACAACTGACACAAACACACCAACTTTTTTGTGCTAGTGGGAGTGCAAATCGAGCATTCATAGTGACATCGACAACACACACAGTCACAGCTGAAAGGAAGTTAGACACTATTTTGTTAAGTTGTCACTGCTTTAAAGATTTTAGAGTGAAATATAGAAATAACATAGTCCTACGTTTAAAGTTTAGGCAATGATTACGAAACTCACAAGGCCAATATTACTTGACAGCTAATTTAATACAAAGAGGTGATGAAATATCAGGAAATTACTGCATAAATATTAATCATTCAAATTAATATAAAATTTAAAAATACGTTATTTTTTCATTTACCTATTCGTTTTATGCAGACTTACGTTTATATTTACACGACGGCTCCAGATGGATGGTAATGTTTTTCGAAGTGTATGTAGTGTCGAAGTGTGTGTAGATAGGTAAAAAAAAAAAAAAAACTTCAAAAAACTAAAAAACACCCTTTCTATAGAAAACCAAACTAATTTAAAAAAATATATATAGTTTAAAAAAACTAAAAAACACGCTTTCTATAGAAAACCAAACTAAAAAATAGAAAATAAATTTGAAAAAAAGCGTGGGGTGCTTTTTACTATTGACAACAGGCTCCCAAAGCTTTTTTTTAAATTTATTTTCTATTTTTTAGTTTGGTTTTCTATAGAAAGCGTGTTTTTTAGTTTTTTTAAACTATTTTTTTTTTTAAATTAGTGTACGAGTATTGTCATCGGTCCTCGATAAATCTACAAAGTTTAAACGAATTCTGACCGTTTAAAGTCAGTAAAAATCACGCGCAAAGGAGTCGGTTACAAACATACAAGTGAAGTTAATATAAAGCGTGTAAAAACAGTGGTACAATGGGCGGCCTTATCGCAGTCTGCGATCTCTTACAGGCAACCTTTAGATGGACTATCCTGTATAGTGATATGTAGTCTGTGGTGCGCATTTACAATATACATTTCCCTATCTATATATATTTTTTGACTCACTCTATGATAGATATGGTAATTATTGCTATTTTTAAATCATTTTAGTCACAACATTTTTTTCAGACACTCCAGTTGCCGCGTCCACGCTCACATGTAAGGAACTTCGTACCTGCTGGGTTACCATAGACCCGCATTTTTAAATTATAGTTTTAATTCGTATGGCCAGTATAACTTGAGCTATCATTGTATATATACTTTTGTAAAATATACACTGGACGTACATAGTTGTTTGAAGCTATTTACATATAATTTTGAATTGATTTGTTTGTGATTCACCTTTCATCATCATCATCATCATAAACAGCCCTTAACAGTCCACTGCTGGACATAGGCCTCTCCTTATAATGGAGGTTTTGGCCTACTATACCACGCTGGCCAGACGGGTTGGTATAGGGTTTGTTTCAAGTTTTTATTCTTTTTGCTAGTTTTGCACAGTTTGCTCCACCAGTTTGATTCACCTTTACTCAATCTAAATTTAATGGTGATGGAATTGATCGTCTTCCATTCGCGTTCTTCTTTACGGTTTATCTCATTTGTTTTTTTTATAGTTTTGATCGTGATTTAATTTAATTCTTATTAATATATTAATGTATTTGAATTACTTAAGGATGATTTTATTTATTTATATTAATTCATAATTTGATTTAATCTGAATGGTTTGATTTAGATTGTTAATTTAATTTTATTGAAAAACAGTAACACTGCATAAGAATACGTTCCTATGCTGAATTGGCCTGTTGGTCTTGTGGTTAGTGACTCTGACTACTAAACTGGAGGTCGTGGCTTCGATTCCCACCCAGGACAAATATTCTGTGCCTGGGTGTAATTTATATATAATATGTCTTCGTTATGTATTTATAAATATATAAGTATGTAGGTATATCAGTAGTCTGGTTACCATAGTATTATATGTTACCGGATATAACAAGTTGTATTAAACTACATCTTTCATAGGGCTGTACACTGGCCCCCAAAATACAGGCACTCGCCTAGTTTGGGGGAGCAGCATCAGTACATCGAAATCAAAGAAAACAATACTCGTAATATTCTACATGGTATAAATTTTTTATAACGTGTAACGTGTTTTGTATTATCTGAGAAAATAAATATTATATATATATATATTCTACCACATACACACAACGCCATCTAGTCACAAACTAAGCAGAGCTTGTACTATGGGTACTAGACAACTGATATAAATACACATATACTTTGTTTTTTTGTAAATACATACATATTATACATAGAAACACCCAGACCAAATCAAACGGCGGGCGAACGGGAATCGAACCCGGGACCTTTGGAATAGCAGTCCGTTACACAAACCACTACGCCATCCAGTCGTCGTCATTATTATTATAAATTTTTCACTTTTTACTTTGAAAGTCTGAGTTTCTGCACTACTTTTAAATATATTTATTAAGTATTCTCAATTTGATATATTTCTAGCGCCATATTTGTTGAAGAAATTTCTTTACTTATCAAAATATAGACCTATAGTTATAGACTCTAGTGAGTGGCTTTACGCGCTTGAAATTAATGCTTCACACATTAAATTTTTACAACAAATGTGTTTTTTTCTTATTTATTAAAAAATTATAATGAACTTACCTAATTAAAATCAAAATTCACCCAATTTAACTTAATTATTGATATTTTTAATTTGGCCGTTTCGTTGCGATTACAGTGATACATCTAATGCGACTGCCTTAAAACCAGCTCTGCTTGTCAACAAAACAAGGCTGACAAAATGACGTCAGCATGAGGAAAACCAGTATTCATTAAGATGAGAATGCAGCTTGTAATACCCCAAAGAAAACATGGTTTATCCCAACAAGATATCTAACAGAGAATAATATTGACAGCTTTATCATATACACATATAAATCTATACTAAACTATATACAAGGTGTAAGGCACATCGTACCGAATTCAAAAATAGTGTATTCAGATCATAATTCTGAGTCGAAAATCATTGAAATTTTCTGCCGGAATTTTTTTCTTTTCATTCTTCTGGTTGAAAATGATGAAAAATGATATCACCATGAGTAGACAAAACATTTTATCGTTTTTTTTTTTAATAAATACCAAAAAACTGCAATGTAATTAATCAAACAGCCAAAGCGCGCGAGGCCTCCCCTCCGGCCGCCATTTTGTGTAAGTGTGCGTAGTCTGTTTGCACGGAATACTCATGTAGATATTACTTTTGTGCCATACCTACGGGGAATGACCTTAACCTTTGACAGCTGATTGCATAAAAAGTTTAATTTTATGACTTTTTATGGCTGAAAGCCTAGACGGATGCCTAGGATTCTGATGTTGGCTGAGGCAGTCAGGGAGGTGCTCTCAAACTGAGGTGATACGACAAATGGTATCTTTTTTGCGGTGAACGCACAAACCTTTGTCTTTTTTTTGCCCGTTGTCTTTTTTAGTGCCCACCGGTGTGTTAGAAAGACGAGAAGATCATCAGCTGAGCGACCGCGGCAAAAACCATATTGTCGGTCATTGAGTAGCTGGTGATTATGGATTCCATAATCTTAGAGAACAAAAGTGTTATGGCTAAAGGCCTGTAGTTGAACGGGTCAGAGCGGTCACCATTTTTAGGGATCGGGTGCACAAACGCTACCTTCCATGAGTTCGGTAAGACGCCTTGGGAGTAGGAGAGATGAAAAAGGCGCGTCAAAACCGGTGCCAACTCCTGAGCACACCTCTTCAACACGATAGGAGAGATTCCATCGGGCCCACACGACTTATGAATGTATTGGTTACTTGAACATGATTACGACTCAACCGAGAAATTAATGCGACTTAGAGTGCTATAACATTAAACAGGCACACACACACACACACAAACACAAGCACACACACACACGCACGCACATACATGTCTTGACATAAGTCTTTAAATATGAGAGAAACTGGTACCAATGACTCATGTTTATTCTTACAAAGGATACTGTGCGGTGAACATATAATATAATAGAAACCCGCCCCGGCTTCGCAGTCAGGTAGTCTATAGCACTCAGTGATAATGTACCTTGCTAACAGTGAAAGCATTTTCAAAATCGGATCAGTATTTCTTGAGTTTACCCTGAATATACAAACTCTTAAAATTTACCGCTTTATAATATTAGTAGAGATTTCTAAATAAACACTCTTATATATCTTTAAATACATACAGATTATAGATAGTCTAAACCCAAACATAGAACAAACGATCGTGCTCATCACACAATATTTGTCTTTGGGTGAGAATTGAACTCACGACCCCTAGCACAGCAGTCGATTATTTGCCCTGTGTCTGAGTGTAATTCATCCATATCTTCACACATCTCACACACGGTCGTCAAATCCCTAACCAGGCAGAGCCTGTACTATGGTGACCAGACTGCTGAAACATACCTAATATTTCTAAATACATGCATATTATAGGTACATTAAACCTAGACACAGAACAAATGATCGTGTTAATCACACAAATATTTGTCCTAGGTGGGAATCGAATTCTCCGGCTTAGCAGTCTGGGCCACTAACCGCTTGACCAACAGGCCCGTCAAACTTAACCAAAACCTTTAACTCACATCAACAGCCTTTAATAGTCCACTGCTGGACATAAGCCTCTCCTTAGACTCAAAAACTTTAACTCAATTAAAATAAAAACCATTTTTTGTAAGACGTCATTAAGATTTATTAATTCCTTATAAAAACTGGTACAAAGTTACTAAATGTCTCCCGTTGACACTTTGGATATCGCGCAACAGACCTCTATAGCTTCCAGACATTGTTCTTTTTCGTCACTGAAACAACAAATTATTTTGACATTAAAAATTGTCAGTTCCTGCACATTGAGAAATAAGAATAGAGCACGCCAATCCCACCTAACCCAATGCTTTGAGGTGTCCCACGGTGCGAGAGAGCTACAAGCAAAGGCCTTCTCTATGTCTCTCTCACTGCAAGACAATCGTGATTATGATTAACGTGACTGCGCATGTGCGGGAATTAAGAAAGAGATAGAGAGTCCTCTCTATCTCTTTCTTAATTCCCGCACATCTCTGCGTGCAACGATCTCTCTCGCACTCGGTTTTCCTTGCGTGCTGTTTAAATATTATTTGTTTATTTGAGATCATCATCATCATCATTGAAAGACGTCTACTACTGGACATAAGCCCAATGCCCTCCACAACAACCGGTTCTATGCTGCCCGCATCCAACGGCTTCTCGCGACCTTCACCAAAACCTTCTCACCTTAAAACTTCTACAAAATCAGAGTTACTGGAAGTGATGTCCGCGCAGAGGTAATAGGGAACACACTGGCATTTCTGGCCCTCCGCGTTTACAAGGACCGCGCCGGGCACATCCGAGGCTATTTCTTTGGACCCGCCGAATATCTAGAAAAATAAATATTCTTCTAGAATAATAAATCCTACCAAATACGTCATTTTCTTGTTAAATGTTGCTAAGAAGAGACCACGCTCTAACTCTACAAGAGAAGCAACTTTATAAACTCTTCATCTTAGTCAAATAATATCTTCTTTTACAAAACACTCTTCAAACTATAAATAACTGGCTTAAAGATTACAACCTAGAGATTAATTCAACTAAAACAAAAGTAAAATACAATTTAGATCATATAAAAAATCTCCTCTAAATTTGGATATAATATACAGAAGCACACGTTTAAAAGAAGTTAAGAGTTTTACCTTACTTGGCATGAAAAAAACATTAAATCAAAACATTCGAAATTTTGAACTTTGAACTTTGAACTACGAACACACAGACAGCTTTGTCTACTTACTACGAGTATGCATACTCGTGGCTGCGATATGGCGTCATGCTATGGGGAAATAGTAACAACAACAGTGTTGTTGTTACTATTTCCCCATACGGGATTTCCCATTTCCCAGCGCCCATGGATTGTGAGCGTTGTTTTGCACGCTTTTGTCATGGTAGAATGTACTGAACCAATATTATAATTATTAATATCTGTTACATGTAGTACATTCGGCAAATAAATGAATTTGAATTTGAATAATGTGGCTTGGACCTTTCGTTACTAAAATAACTACTTATTGTAAAACAGAAAAATAACGAAAAGTGAATAAAATTTTCACCTTACGCCTATGGGACGGTAGCAACTCTTCTTTTCAAGTTCCTGGATATATAGCAGAAGGTTTACTCACCTTTTCGATCGTCGCGGGATCTATACTGACAGATCTATACGATCTACTCAATATGGGAAATGATAATAATTTCTGTTGGAACTCCGAGCTTGCGAACCCTAAGAGCAGGGTAAGAAGAAAGAGTTGCATGATTTTCTCTCCTGGAAGAATATAAACATGAATTATGGGCAAAAATTTTTTTTTCTTATTTGTCAAATATGAATTATATAGAATATGGAGTGTCACCACGCCTATTCATCCCTCAAAGAGAGAGAAACTTGAAACAAATCCTGCAACAACCAGTCTGGTCAACGTGGTATAGCAGGCCAAAACCTCCTTTCTAGGGGATAGGGGATGTTGATCATCATCATGTCGAATACGATGAACAACAATCATGATGATACATGACCTATTTCCACCTCTATGATGATGATCATAGAGGTGGAAATAGGACTTGGGCAGTTTTGACTCTAGAGTACAACACACACAATTGGGAACGTTGCCGGCGTCACTAACTCACCTCTCCGCCAGAAATATGGGGGGGGGGGGGGGGCTAGACCTCACTCCCTCGGTGAAATACTACTAGTTACATCACGTGACCCGTCTGTTGTGTCGGACTCGAACCGACAAAAAACCCTTTTTTTTTTTTTTCCGTGCAAATTTCCGGAAATCCCCTCGGATACCACCTGTCGGTGGCATGTCGGACACGAACCGACTAAAACCGCACGCCGTCTCGGGTACTAATAGCCGGGGAACCAGGTATACCCTAGAAAGGAAGTCCCTGGCACCCCGACATACCTCGGGTCATCTAGAGACGAGTAGACGACCCCCCCCACCCGTGTGGGAACCCCATGTTCCCTGTGATCTAGGTGTACCCTAGGAAGGAAATTCCTGAAACCCCGACGAACCCTGAGCCATCTACAAGTCGTACTTGTAGATGACCCTCTCGTGTGGGAACCACGGTGTTCCCATTCTACAACCTAAAGGTTGAACGCACTCCAGAGCGCCCGGCCTGCTTCTGGTACGGTGACAGATGACGTCACCTGTCACCCCCAGGCCTGCGCTTATAGAGGAAAGAGGTCGTTGTGCGATCTCCGGCGCCGGAGTCGTTCGTTTGTCCTCCTGTACCATAAATAAGTCTAAATAATTTTTTTCGCTTTTAGCACTTTATATTTCGTTAAAATCTTTTATTAAGTATATTATTTTACAAATTGCTTGTAGAAAGCAAGTATTTACAGAAACAAATGTATTTTTCGTATATTCGTGTTCAAGACAGCGATGTCTCAAAATATCGCAGAAAATTAATATTATTTAGTATACTTTCAAAACTAGATTCTTGTCCTTTTTTAGTGTTAGGCGTAGTGATAAAGGTATAAACTCACCTTTAATTTGAACTGAGAAGGTAAAACACTGTTTTGATATTATGGATATATTAATTTTATCGGTCAGTTAAGAGTATCGATCGATACCAGACTAACTGCCGTGAACCTTGTCAAGAAAACCAGATATTGTAACGATGTTAAAAGGAAAAACTGTAGATAAATTTCGAGAATGCGGTTTTTTCCATTCAATTTGCATACCTGCCGTATTATGCTACTATGTATTTTTTTGCGTGAAACCTTAAATCGGTTGATTTTTGTTATTCTAAAACGGTTTTATTTTTATTTTTTGTTATTATTAAAGAGGGGCTCGTGGCTCGTGTTAAACAACCTAGCGGTTGCAAGTTGGTTAACATATTGCAAAGATAAGCGATCCTGGCTAGGTCAGTCTATGGATGGGTGACCATTCTTAACATATGAAGATCCCCGCATGCGTCGGAGAGCATTATTATCATTATATCCGCAACTCAAAAGTCACAAGTTCTTTGCCGTCTGTTGAATATCTTACCAGAATTACTAGGGCAGGAGTAGTCTTCAAAAATTAAAAAAATTGGTGTAGGAGGGTTTTGGGCCTTCGGTAGCATCCATCACTCACTTGGTGGAAAGAATTGCTTAGCACCGGCTTTCTGTGGGGCCGTATCTACAAGTGGTGATCATCATCACATTACATCAGCAGCCTTTAGTAGTCCACTGCTGGACATAGGCTCTCCTTAGAAAGGAGATTTTGGCCTACTGTACCATGCTTGCCAGACGGGTTGGTATAGGGTTTATGTCAAGTTTTCATTCTCTTTGTTATCCTGCTCAATTAGTCGGCTCTTATGACACCCACGGGATGAATAGGGATGGTGACACTCCGTATTATTAATCCGTCACCATACGTAGTATCTAAAAGTATTTAAACATAACAATGATTGGGTATAACTTGTTATCGTTGCCAGGAATATGGTCATTTTAAAAATATATTATTTTTGATACCACAAATAATACAATTTAAATTAGTTCTTAAGAATATTTATTGGTGTAATAAATCATCAATCATCATCAACAGCCTTTGATAGTCCACTACTGGACATATGCCTCTCCTTAGAAAGGAGGTTTTGACCTACTATGATGATGATGATGATGTCCTCCAAGACGTATTCGTCGACGGCGACGCCCTGTCACCTTTCAACAGCTCCTCATGCTTGACTATACCACGCTGACCAGACGGCTATAGGGTTTGTATCAAGTTTTTCTCATCTTTGCAGTGCTGTTGTCCTGCGTAGTTTATTGTATTATTATAGTAGTCGCTATAATACAACAACATTAGTTTTAAGGCAAAATCCGTATATCATGGGACATAAGGTCCTGGAACCAACCTGGTCAACCTTGTCTTGGAACAAATAGAAATTACAGTAATAATAATAACCTCACACATCTCCGACATGGCAGTCTGACCCCCAACTAGGCAGAGCCCGTGTTATGGTAACCAGATTGCTAATCATGATTGACACATGATTATTTTTCCTGGGTGGGAATTGAACCAACGACCTGTAGCTTGGTAGTCAGAATGACTAACCACTGAATTTTTTTCATTTATTCATACCTTCGAGACCATCTGGTGACCATCACAGGACAGGACATAGGGGTACTTGATTCCGGCTTCTTCGAGCTACTGAGTCTCAATCCTGAGACTTGAGATATCCTTAAACCCTGGCTCAGAGCGAGGTCTACGAGCTCCCCGCTCACCTGATGGTAAGTGACTATCACTGCCCATGAGTAAAGTCACAAGTGCGTTGCTACCATTTAAGTGCAGTAACGCACTTGTGACTTTCACTTACTAACGCTTAAACCGCTTAACCGATTTAGATGGAATTCAGTATACAGATAATTTGAGTTCCAGGAAAGGACATACAATAGTTTTCATCCCTGAAATCATCCTTTAAGGGGGTGAATAGAGTGATAAAATTTGTATGGGGAATAAATCAATAACCGCTGAACCGAGTTGGATGAAATTTGTTATGGAGATAGTTTGATTCTTGAGAAAGGAGTCTGCAAAAGCTAGTAAGTAATAAAATGAATTATTTATTTAGATATTTATTTATTATTTAATAATACATTACACAAATATACATACAACACAAGGCGGACTGAATGCCATAGGCATTTTCTTCCAGTCGACCTTTGGGTGATGCTATAGAGATATATTAGATAATACATAAACTTATTTTGGACGTGCTATATAAAATACTTAAATAATAATATATAATAATATGTTATATACATATATAAATCTCTATATATATAAAAATGAATTGCTGTTCGTTAGTCTCGCTAAAACTCAAGAACGGCTGGACCGATTTGGCTAATTTTGGTCTTGAATTATTTGTGAAAGTCCAGAGAAGGTTCAAAAGGCGAATAAATATGAAAATGCTCGATTTTTTTTTTAATTCCGAGCATTTTTTAATTGTTTTCATAAAAAAAGGATTCCTTTTGTTTGTTTATTTTATACAAAAGTTTAGGTCTTTTATTTATCAATTGAGGCAGTACGAAGTCTGCCGGGTCAGCTAGTATATTTATATATATTATCATCAGCCTATCGCAGTGCTGGGCATAGGCCTCTCTCATTGCAAGCTACTTCCACACGCATCCAGCTCCTGATTATTCTGATGACTCCGTCAACAAGTCTCCGTAGAGCTTGCGTACTCGAAGCTTAAAGTTGAATCGGCTAGTGGTCATCCTGACTTCTAGAGGGATGGCGTTCCGGAGATTTACAGCTTGAACCGCAATGGAAGAATGAACAATACTGGAATTATGTAAGGGTCAGAGAAGGAGATGATTTCTGTCAGGGCTAAAACTTTGACAGGAATCTTCTCCTTTCAATATCTCTGAGATATTGGAAATGAGATGTTAAAGAGGTGATTTACCTGAGTAGAGAAGGGAGAACAACATCGTCAACGCCCTGAAACTACGGCGTTGTCTTATAGGTAGCCATGACAGTTGCGTAAGATAGGGGAATATTCATACTAATCTATACAAAAATTATAAATGCCAAAGTGTCTGTCTGAATTAGATGAAATTTGGTACAGAGATTTTCCGAGTTCCGGGAAAGGACATAGTGAAGTTTTATCCCAGAAATTATCCTTTAAGGGAGTGAAAAGGGGGGTGGAAGTTTGTATGGGGAATCGATAACCGCTGAACTGATTTAGATGAAATTTGGTATAAAGATACTTTGATTCTTGAGGAAAGACATCGGCTACCTTTTACCGCGAAAACCGACACTTACGTGGGCGGTATGTTCATACTTTGGTATTAAATTGTTGAGAAATTTGTCTAGTTTATTGAGCAGATCTACATTCAGGTCGAGGAAACCCTCATCACCAGAATCTATGACTGGGAGAACTAAACTGTAGTAGCATCGTTTTCGTGGGGATTTTTTTTTTCAGGCGATAGGGGCCACGCAAAATATTCGTAACCTGACTGACGCTAGTTCCTTGTGGTTGCCAACTCAGAGTTGTGTCTATGTTAAGGCCAAGATCCTTGACCGATGGACTAATAGGCAACACTGTACCATTGAAAACGATTTATTCTTTTACTCATTGATTCGGTTCTCCATTTATTCCCAGAAAAAAAAAACTTTACTAATATTTTTAATTGTCTATGTATTTGTGTCGAGAAGTAACCCCCACTCCTCCATTTTCTTATCAACCCACTCTCTGAACATGGGCACGTTGACGTATAATGCTGGTACATCTTTGTCGCCGCACCCAATCCCACCAGCGACGAGACCAGTCAGCTTGTATTGGTTGTTACCTATGGGACACACCAAGGGGGCGCCACCATCACCCTGTCAAGAAAATCGTACATAAATAACGATTTCAAGCATCTCACACACAGCCGTCTGATCCCAAACTAGGCAGAGCCTGTACTATGAAACCAGAGTGCTTATAAACATACTTATATATTTCTAAATACTTACATTTATTATAGATAAATAACCCAGACACAGAAGAAATAACCGAGCTCATCACACAATCATTTGTCCTGGGTGGGAATCGAGCCCACGTCCGTCAGTTTAATAATACTTAAAATACAATATAAATATGAATTACTAGTTGTATCGTGTGCATTGCTGTGTCAAATTGTGCTTGCATTATAAAATATATAAAACTGACGTGCAGAATAGAATGCAGAATCTTTGAAGCGGTTAAAATATCAACCATCGTCAACATAGTGTGTTCAAATATCGGCGCATTTGGTGCAGAACTTTTTGAGTTTTGGCGTTTGGTTAAGTTGGTTGGTTTGCGTTCGCTTCAGGACACAAACCAGCCAACTTAACATTTTTTTATTTATATAATTATGTATAGATGTCATAATCCACGTGGTGACGTATTAAGAACACGGAGTGTCACCACCCCTGGGTGCCGTAACAGCCGACTAAGGCAGCAAACTACGGACAACAGCACCACAAAAAACTTGAAACAAACCCTATACCAACCCGTCTGGCAAGCGTGGTTTAGTAGATCAAAACCTCCTTTCTAAGGAGAGGCCAATGTCCAGCAGTGGACTATTAAAGGCTGTTGATGATGATGATCATCAAAAATAACAAAATACTGCACGCATGGTGTAGTAGTTTCAAAGGTCTTCAGCGTCTTACTGCGCTGAGTGTTATTGGTTCGATCCCCACATGTGACAACACTTTGTGTGATCCACATATTGTTGTTCTGAGTATGGATGCTCTTTCTGTCTGTTCCATGTATGTTTGTTAAGTCTCCCGCGACACAGGATATATTCCTAATGCAAGATTGTCTTTTTGTAATAAAAAGAAGTTGTCTTACCTGGCAGGTATCTTTGCCTTCCTCCCCACCGGCACACAAAATGCTGATGGGGAGTTTGAAGTTGGAACCAAGTCTGGTCCTCCTCAACAGAGTTCTACAGCGGTTGTACGGGACCATGTTTACTTCCACTTTCTTGAGGATCACGGCGAACTTGCCTTTTACACCTGAAATGGATTGTAGAGGAAGTTTTATAATTAATACGTATAATATAATAATATTTCGGACATCTGACACACAACGCTATCCAGTTTTAAATTAAACAGAGCTCAACGAGAACCGACTCGAATCGTCGATATCCCAAACATCTCCGATCGGTTCGATTCCTTGGCGTTACGTAGGGATGTGGGTTCACTCTGCAGTCTCTATCGCATATATCATGGAGAGTGCTGCGAGTAATTGCTCGGACTAATAATTAGCCGAAAATTTCCGCCATCGTTCCACACGGCAAAATTTTCATCCTCATTATCTGGATAGTTGGCGCTCCACTACTGGGCGCTTTTCGAGACACTTTTTGCCTCGCACAACTAATCTGTGGAACGGGTTATCGTCTGCGGTATTTCCAGACAGATACGACCTTCAAACCTTAGTGATAGCATAGAGGAGACAAAGATTACAGAAAACACTGCATACTTATAATCTATCTCATTCTCTCGCATGCCAAATCCTATTTATTAATATGTTTGTCTCTTTTTACTGTCGCTTTTTCGTTTCATCGAATTTTGAAATCACAACCGTTCCAAAGAAGTTCCAATTTAAAAAATAATGTTTAGTTTGTGACAAGATAACGCTTTGTACTATAACCCAGTCACTCAGGATCAGCACCATTTGCATATACAGTTGTAAACTACTGCTCTGATCTTTTTGTCCCTTCCAAGCGGTTTTTAGCGATAAAGACGCTATTTGTACATTTTGCCATAAGCTGTGTATATTTTTGAAGTGAAAACTTTTCTATGCGCGTTGGGAAAATTTCAACAACAAACAAAAGAATGTATTTTATGAGAAAAACCATTGAACTCGCGACACCGTTACTGTTATCGACACCTCTGTTGAAGTAAACACTTCTTTAGTTAGGACATTTTTTGAGATGGGAAAACAACAATGAACTCGCGACACTGTTACCGTTACCGACACCTATGTTGAAGTATGAACTTGTTTAGGTGCGTTGGGCATTTTTTGAGATGGGAAACAACAATGAACTCGCGACACTGTTACCATTACCGACACCTCTGTTAAAGTGAAAACTTCTTTAGGCGCGTTGGGCATTTTTTGAGATAGGAAACAACAATCTAACTCGCGACACTGTTACCGTTACCGACACTTCTATATATAAGTTTTCACTTCTGTCGGCATTCTCGGAGTGCCACTGTTTGACTGACACTTATGGTCTATTTCTTATACTTTTACAGGTGTTCAAAACTTACCGAAGGTATCCTTGCCCCATCCATTGGCGATGCAGTTCTTATAGGTGTCGAACACCTCGTCTTGCTTCGGCATGCAGATGACGTTGATGTGCCTCGACAGTTCCAGCGGCTTTTCCAGACGCAGGAGAGCAATATCGTTCAGGAGGAATCTTTTGTTGAATTCTGTAAGAGGAGATATAAACGGTGTTCTAATATTCATCTTGAGAAGAGAGTTCAGTTAGGAAGATTAGTAACAGTAAAAAAAAAAGCAGGAATCCCGAGAACAAGTAATTGTGTGATAAGCACGATTATTTGTTGTGCTTTAGTGTAATTTATCTATAACTAGTTGTTAAGTAGTAAAATATTATCAAAGTCGGTGTAGCCATTTTGAAGATTCACATCAACAGCCTTTAACAGTCCACTGCTGGACATAGGCCTCTCCTTAGAAAGGAGGTTTTGGTCCACTATACCACGCTGGCCAGACGGGTTGGTATAGGGTTTGTGTCAAGTTAGGAAGATTAGTAACAGTAAAAAAAAAAGCAGGAATCCCGAGAACAAGTAATTGTGTGATAAGCACGATTATTTGTTGTGCTTTAGTGTAATTTATCTATAACTAGTTGTTAAGTAGTAAAATATTATCAAAGTCGGTGTAGCCATTTTGAAGATTCACATCAACAGCCTTTAACAGTCCACTGCTGGACATAGGCCTCTCCTTAGAAAGGAGGTTTTGGTCCACTATACCACGCTGGCCAGACGGGTTGGTATAGGGTTTGTGTCAAGTTTTCCTTCTCTCTGCAGTGGTGTTGTCCTGCGTAGTTTTCTCCCTTATTGGCTCTTACGACACCCACGGGATGAATAGGGGTGGTGACACTCTGTATTCTTAATCCGTCACCACATGGACGATTTTGAAGATTACCCGGAACAAATAGACAGACAGACCAAAATATTTCAACTGGTTTTTAGGCATAGGTATCGTGTAAATAACCGTGTAAGCCTGAAAAAATACTATTAAGCTATTGCATAGCTTCTATCGCTGGCCTTGAGCGTGGAGACCGAATCCAGAAATTTCGTAACGAAAATAACCTAACACACCCCACGTGATACTTTTTAGTTTTGCCATCTATCGATCTTTTAATGAACTTTTAATGACTTTTGAAATATCACGCTTGTCTCTTTAGTTCAGCAACTCGCCTCTGTATCTTTGTATCTCTGTATATTGGTTGTATCTTTTCTTTCGAAAATATTGAATTTGAAAATGAATAATGATCCACAAGAATCCACAACAAAATATGGGACCACCATTGACGCGGTATTTTCAGATATTTAGAAGATATCAAGTCTCAAACTTATGTTTCTTATTTCAGTTACCATAAACCTATAGTTTCAATGATAAATATTCCTGAATAACCTACATGTATTGTAAGATAATAAAAATATTTTGAACAATATTAACTTCTCATTTATTTAATAAAAGAAAAAAAAATGTTTTCTTATCGGTCACCACGCTCAAAAAGTGTAACTTGAATTAATATCAAAGAAAAAAAAACAAAGAAAGAAGTCACTACCCCAATTCCAATCCCGTGGGCGCAAAACAACGCAGGACAACAGCACTGCAAAAAGAAGGAAAACTTGACACAAACCCTATACCAACCCGTCTGGCCAGCGTGGTATAGTAGGCCAAAACCTTCTTTCTAAGGAGAGGCCTATGTCCAGCAGTGGACTATTAAAGGCTGTTGGTGTGATGTGATGATGTAGGATACTCACTGTTATGTATATATAACTCCTTGACTAATCTCTCTTGAAACTCGTACTTTTCCAGTTCAGTCTGTGTGTCCCACTCTCCAGCCCTTATCTTCAATGAAAATGGACCGTATCTATGTGCATACACAGAGACAGTAATATAGGTATATAGTAATACAGTAAAAACATAAAAAAACCTTTACTTTTGGTGGAAGGTGTTGTATTTGCGCTCAATTTGTTTCTAAACAGTTATGTAACTGGCCTGTTGATCTAGTGGTTAACGACTCTAAGCCAGAGGTCTTGGGTTCGATTCCCACCCAGGGCAAACAATTACGTGATGAGCGCGATCATATGTTCTGTGTCAGGGTATGTTTATCAGAAGTCTGGATCTGAATCTGGTGAGGCTTTGCAGTCAGGTTCACTAACCACTAAACCAACAGCCCAGGCAAGTTATAACGACTGCACAGATGGCGTAGTGGCTTAAGCGGTCACTTTGCTGCTTCCTACTGCGCTGAGTATTGTGGGTTCGATCCCCACATGGGACAACACTTTGTGTGATCCACAAATTGTTGTTCGCAGTCTTTGTGTTCCTTGTGTCCTTTTCATGTGTATTTGTAAAGTTCCCAGATACATAGGATTATATTCCTAGTGCGGGAGTTGTTTTTTATACAAAAATGAAAGTGTGTGTGCAATTTACACACGGCAGAAGTGAAACTTCCGAAAAAAACTCTGAAAATCCCAATAAAATTTTGCCCGGTCCGGGAAAATAATGTGTAATGTATTCTATCTCATTCTCTCGCCGACTTAATCCTATACATTTATGTGTTTGTTTCTTTATCGTGATCCATTTTCGTTTCATCGAGTTTCAAATCATAACGATTCTAAAAACTCTCCGTTAAAAAATTTGGCGACTTCAAAAAGGCGGTCATTGTCAATTCACTAATTTTTTTTATGCCTTCTTTCATGATCTGATCTGGAAACTTATTTTTTTAAGAAACCCTTGCAAATAATGCAAGGGTTCCTTCCAGTGTCCCATTTAACTTTGTAGAAAAAATGTCACCCCTAAGGGTGAGCAAGAATACATTTTATTAAAATTAATTTTGATGTAGGAAAATTGATGTCAGTAACACTTTTATAAAAGGTAATTATAGTATTCCACTTACTCAGAAATTATGTGTGCCGCGGTCATCACCACTTCAGGATTGATCAACACTCCAACACCAATGTAGACGAAGGTCTTGGAGTCCAGCAGAGCCACCACCCAGGGGAACTCTCCGAATTGGGTGGCTGCGTGCTGGAATTCGTTTAATAGATTTCAAATGTTGACACTCTTCACATATTTTTGTTGACTAGTCTGTGGCCTTGATTGCTACACCAGAGGTCGTGGGTTCGATTCCCACCCACGACAAATAATTGTGTGATGAGCACGGTATTTTATCCATGATATTAATGCGTCATAGGAGTGAGTGGTTCTTGTTTTGTGTCTGGAGGACAGCGCATTAAGATTGTGGTTCTCAATTTCGATACTTACTAGCAGTGCCATCAGTGTCGAATATCGGAAGATTATTTGGACGCCACGCGATTTTGCATGAGTGTATTCATATCACATCATCATCATCAACAGCCTACTATAGTCCACTGCTGAACATAGGCCTCTCCTTCGAAAGGAGGTTTTGGCCTACTATACCACGGTTGTCCTGGGCAGTCGGCTTTTGTGATACCCACGGGATGAACAGGGGTGGTGACATTCCGTATTCTTAATCCGTCACCACACGGATACCACAGTGTATTCATATCGATATTTATAATTACAGATTCGACGAAGAGGATAACATCTTTATTTACAGCATGAGATCAAATCTTTTTATGTGACCTGATTCTTAGCACTTCAGTTCATTATATTATTTGTTAGTCTTGCTCTAGATAGACCCATTTTCGGGTCTAATTTGTGTTTAGATAGAGACTTAATCCTAGTAATACGTCCCAGTATATTATTATCATTTACAAATACCTACCGTAAAAGTAATTCCAACGCCGTTGGGATTCCTATAGCCACAACCCTTTATTATGGGTTTCTTAACTGGCTCTGTGGGTTTAGGCTTGACGGGTTCCGTAGACACCGTGCAGCAGACCTCCACGGAGTATTTACAGAGCCTCTCATCCTCTTCGCCGAATCTGTAATTATAAGTATCTATATGAGTAATCTGTCATGCATAAACCAGCCAAGTGCATGACGGGACAGACAGTAGTTTCTGAGATTAACGCATTCAGTCAAACAAACAAACTCTTCAGATTTAAATCACATCACATCATCACATTACAACAGCCTTTAATAGTCCACTGCTGGACATAGGCCTCTCCTTAGAAAGGAGGTTTTGGCTTACTATGCAACGCTAGCCAGAGGGGTTTGTATACCAATAGTTTCGATTAATTAAACACGGACGGAACCAAGGTACGAATTGACGAAACTTGAAGTGTTCTTTGGATGGACTACGGATCCTCAAAAAGTGCGTCTTCATAGGCTACTCATCATCATCATCTAAGAAAATAGGAGAAAGGAGGTTTTGGCTTTTGGATGGTTTGTTTCAAGTATTCCTTCTCTTTGCAATGCGGTTGTCCTGGGCAGTTTCCTCCCTTAGTCGGCTTTTACGACACCCACGGGATGAATAGTAGTGGTGACACCCATATTCTTCGTAATCCGTCACCACACGGATAGTATAATTAACAGAAGAAGACTGTTTTTTAAAACAGCCAGTTTAGGTTACCGGTAAGACGGTGACCAGCTTGACTCACTCGACCTATTTCACCCCCCCCCCCCCAATCCATTCATACCGTTACTTTGCCTACTTATCCACCTTTATTTCAACGTACTCTCAACTAAAGCATCTTAATCCCTTATGGTCATAGGCTTACCCTATTAAATAAGTGGGACTAAACCAATTACAGCTGGTGAAATGTAATTTTGAGGGGGAGAGGGGTTGTGCAACTCAAAACGCACCTTTTCCGATTAAAATATATGGTATTTTAATAACCCTTGGGAGATATAGGAATATAAATATGTACGTAATATTCTTTTATTCATTTATCTCTCTATTTCTTTCGTCTATTTCCGAACTCCTGACTCCTCACCTGACATCCACTTCTTTGTATTCTCCGTCTTCTTCTTCATTATTTTCGTCACCTCCGATGTTGTTGTCACCACACAAATAGTAAGGAACGCATTGGCAGCTTCGGCCGTTGTCGTCTACTAGAATGGGAGTGCTGACTGTGGATCCTACGATGATCTGAAAGGAACGTTCTTTGAAGATAATGTCTCTGTCCTGGGGGCCTCTCTGGTTCGATGCAAAGATTTGCGCTATATCATGGAAAAGCCATGCTTCAAAACAAATGGGAGGGCTCGACTGGTGGGTCACCACGGCCTAACATCATAACATTTATTCAGCAATTGTTTTGTTGCTTTACATTGGGTGAGTGAGACTACCAGAGAGTAGGAACCCCCTTCTCCTCCTGTATCTGGGGGGAGGTGGACCCCCAAAGGACTCAAACGCACTTGGGACTCTTGAGCTGCAGGAGTCCATGGGCGGCTGTATTCACTTAAAATCAGGTGACCCATCTGTTCGTTTACCCCCAAGGTCCATAAAAAAGGATTTCTAGATTTTTTTTCGATATTTTCTGATTCTCAATACAAAAATGGATCACAGAACGGAACAAACCGGTTCTTTTGTCGTGGATGCAGTCTCAGGAGTTGGCGTCTGCTGTATGTTGAAGATTTTGTTTATTAATGCAATATCTAGCTGCTCCTCGGTGCCAGCAAACGCCAAAATAAGACCGAAAACGAGGAGCTTCATGATTCTGAAAAGAAATACGTAAGTAGAATGTAAATTTTATGTAGTCACCATTACACCATATGGCGTAGTGGTTTGTGTAACGGACTGCTAATCCAAAGGTCGCGGGTTGGATTCCCGCTCAAGTCAAACATTTAATGTTTGATTTGGTCTGGTTGTTTCTATTTATCATCAACAGCCTTTAACAGCCACTGCTGGACATTTATTTATTTATTTATTTCCTTTAAAAACTACTATTATTACAGGTTTAGCCCAATGTAATAGTGTTATACCATCTACTTATTTATTATAAGAAATAATTCTTAATGCTGTTATTGTGAATCCACTCAGTGAGCAATAAAATAAATCTATTTCATCCGCAATTATATTCAGAGTACGTAGTGCGCGCGTCAGCGGTGCTTCTCTCTGCAGGTTGGTGCGCCCGCATGGGACAGCCATATAAGGCTAGAAAGGAGGTTTCTATGTATAATAAGTATGTATTTACAAAAAAAAAGTATATATGTATTTATATCAGTTGTCTAGTACCCATAGTACAAGCTCTGCTTAGTTTGGGACTAGATGGCGTTAATAATAATAATAAAATTGAAATAAAAAAAAAATGTTGTAATGGCGCTGTTGCTGTAGGCAAGTCGTGGTTCCTAATACTGTCTTATTTGTACTCCAAGGAATACAATTTATCCGTCAGAGAGCCCTGATTCGGCATAATTGGGCCGGTTATACCACATATAGAGGTATACCACAGGTTCACAGTAAACTTTTCACCGTGTAAGTCCAATCCCCCATAATTCCAAGAATTCAGGAGGTATTGTTACTCAAACCAAGCGATTGCATCTGTTGTGTTGCAGTTTTCCATGTTCGGCGCTAGTCTCGTCGACACCCAGTGACCCGTCAGCCAGTTTGAACCCATAAAAAACCGGGTCTTAGAATGCAACACGAATCGGTACATGTCTGGTGGGGCTTGCCAAGCCAGATGGAATGATGACCTGGAGAAGGTAGCAGGAACGTGCTGATCGATTTTGAGAGGCCCAAGCATGTTCTGCAGTGGATTGTAATAAATATGCTGATTGATTAATAATGACGCTGTAATTCGTGAAACGGTTAAGAAGGAACAGAGAAGCGGGGGTTGACTCAAGTTGACAGAGAACAAGACTCCTTACAACAGTAACGTTTAAAGTGTAAACTTATCACTGTATTTAATACTAGCTGTCTCGGACAGCTACGGTTGCGTTTCTCATAATAAATAAATTGAACTCGTTTTTGCAACATTTTTTACTGATGCACTATATGAGCTATCCAACACAACATACATAAATAATCTTTATTGCACACATATACAGTCCATAGCTTGTTTAGTAATTGGTTAGACACAGAATGTACTATAGTGTATATTAGTATTGTTAGCAACACCACTTAATAGATTTTTTTAGAGGGGGCAGACGAGCAGACGGTTCTCCTGATGGAAAGTGACCATCGCCGCCCATGAACGTCTGCAACTCAGGAGTCACAAACGCATTACCGGCCCTTTAGGAAGGAGTACGCTCTTTTCTTAAAGGTTTAAAACTACATTCCACAATCTCGAAAATCTCCATTTGAATCACTTAAATTTGAATTATTTTAAAGTAAACAATCACTTTTAAATATTACAGAAGGAATGTTATGTTTACAGAATGGTTGTACCCGTATATATAATATATATATATATATATATATATATATGTACATATTAGTCTTGTGCTTAATCGGACATCTGCAGGTTCGGACCGTACTAGTACAATTCGTTCAACGTAACTAGCACACCGTAATAGTACCATTAGTACAGTTTTAGTAGAAGTAGAAAACTTAAGCGTTTGCATTGATATTACTGACATTTATGAAGCGGAATACCAAGTAAATAAAAAAAAATGTTATAGAATTTTGGCAGACCGCGCTTTTTCTTTTTTAATATAGATAGGCTTTGTATTAGGCAGTTACTTTTCTTCTGTATAGGAATTATTACACAGTTCTTAATTATTTTAATGTGTTAGGTATCCTTTTCTGAATCCCATAAACCTTAACAGTTTGACTTTTAAATACGAATTTTTAGATTACTTTACATTAAATTTTTAAGCATACTATTTGATTTTCCTTCATACTTTACAACCCAACTCTCCCTTTTACTCTCACACTGTTTACCAATACGGAACAATAAAGCGGAGCATTAATAGTACGTCGCACAACAAACGAACGTAGACACTAGTAGACAGAGAATACAATAGGTAGTTTTAGTACTGGCTTGAAGTTGACACTGTGTACTCATAGTGCAAAATGTCCGATTAACAGCTGCCTTTCGGCAACATTACTTTTAGTACAATATCCAGTAATAGTACCTATCAGTACATCGTACGTGTACTACCCAAGACTAGTACATAATATGTACTAGTCTACCTATTGTATTCTCTGTCTACTATGTAACTTTCTTAATTCACCAAAACTTTAAAATGGTTAAAATGTTTTGGATTCATTTTGGATATATTCTAAAAATTTTAATATCATTCGAAGTGATACTTTCCATTGTGCATCTGTGTGACACCATTTTAAATATTATGAAAAAAAAACAATCAATACTTATCGTTTTGGTATTATTGTTTTTTTTATCTATCTGAATTGTTAAATTATCTATGGCCAGACTAGTAATAATGTTGAAATTAGCTCAGTCAACAGCAATGACTTATGTTAACTCAGTTTAGTAAAAATGTAACCTTTTCAAAATTTGCATAATTTTTAGCTTCCAAAAATACATCTGTATGCACATTTGTTAAAAGACACACACACACAGGCACATTCACACGCGTATACACATAAAATATCGGTAAAGTACGTGCTTTAGGTACCGATATTTATTTTTATGTGTACACATTGTACACATACATTCTTAACATATTTATTGTATTAAACGGCGTTTTATATCTTCATTTATATAAAGAACTATCAAACAAAATTATACAATAAATAATAACTAGTCTTCGAATTTATTTTATTATAAAACCTATGCTACTTACTATGTGTGTAGAATACATCTAATGTAATACAATAATTTAATATGTATACTCACCATAAATTACAAATAAATTGCACAAAAACCTTGTCTCCGCTTCCAAGGTTCAACAAAAAACATAGATATGTAACAAAACACAGACAATAAAAAAAGTAATCTTAAGTTTTTAAAACCAGCCGCAATGGCGTCCACGCACAAGTAACATACCAAAAGCTACTGTGACCAATATACTACCTCTTTAATAAAACCGGATACAATCTGATTACGTCATTTTGAGGAAAACTCATAACCAAGATAATGCTATGAAAAGTTTTATATCCCTAAAACAAGTTACTATTGCTTTTGGTCATGTAGTTTATGAGAACAAACTGGTTTTAAGTAATTCAAGAACCATAACATAAATTCAAAAAGAGGATATGGATTATTATTTCATTAAAAATCATGATGGCCATTTGTTTTATACACATGGTTAAAACCCAAGTTTTACGTCATAATAGGTTTAGCACTGTGGCCAATAGATGGCGTTGTATTTATTTTCGTTTAGTATTTAATAATTCAGTTTCATTTCAGTTTTCTTTACTAAATGCGAAAGTAAGTCTTATTAGTCTGTCTATGACTTCTTTTGCACGATTTTTTTAATAGAGATAGAGGATATCTTGGAAGAGTAAAAGCTACTGTCCGCCGATAACAAACAGACTTTCCGTCAAAATAGATTTTAATATAAAAGATTGTATGGCAGAGATTACACCTATGTTAAGCAATTCTTTCGTTGCCTTTCACTGAGTGAGTGAGGTTACCGGAGCCCAAATCCCCCCTGCCGCTGACTCGAGCGGGAAGGACTCCAAGGGCAGCAACGCACTTGTGACTTTTGAGTTGCAGGTGTCCATGGGCAGCGGTAATTGTTTACCATCAGGTGACCCGTCTGCTCGTTTGCCCCCTGATACCGTATAAAAAAACAGTCAGATAAAATTGCTTCCAATATCACCGTGCCTTCATCATCCAGCCTTTAGTAGTCCACTGCTGGACATAGGCCTCTCCTTAGAAAGGAGGTTTTGGCTTACTATACCACGATAGCTAGTAGCTTATACACAAATGAAATTGTGGCACCGAGTACGAGCAATGTTTAATAACCATAGTGACGCTTCCAGAAATATCTTCCACGTGGTAAAGTAGAGATTCGATGTATCGGAACATAGATATATCTCAATTTAAGAGCCAAGCCCTTGCCGGGGGAGCAATCGCCATACATCTCTATTTCTTTCTATTTGTTTGACCTCTTGATAGACCATGACTCCCACTTTTTCCTTGCCGTATGAACGTTGATCTAGTCCTTACTCGTTTTCTCTTGCCTTCTATTTTTATGGATATCACAACATGATAAAAGTACCGAATTTCTGTTAGCGTGTCATCATCTATCTGCCTACCCTTTTCAAAATTTTATTTGGGGTCGGCGCAGTATGTATGATTTTTCCATTCTACTCTGTCATGCGTCATCTCACTGTTTACTCCCTTCCTAGCCATATCCTCCCTCACGCAGTCCATCCACCTCTTCCTCGGTCTGCCTCTTCTCTTGTACCCTTCAACTCCCATACCTAAAACTTTCTTCGCCACATTTTCCTCATCCCTCCGCATGACATGTCCATACCAAGATAACCTATTACTTCTTAACTTTTCATCCAGTGGCGCTACTTTCAGACTCCCTCGTATATACTCATTCCTAACCTTGTCCATCTGAGTCACGCCACACATCCATCTCAGCATTCGCATTTCGCCTACGTTCAGGCGTCTCTCATCCGTTCTCTTAATGGGCCAACTTTCAGAACCATACAGACAGGCAGGTCTGATAATAGTTTTACAAATTTGTCCCTTCAGTGTTATTCTCTGTGTGTAATTTCTGTTAGCGTGTGAAAGCAAAAAAATATATCTCGGGCAATGAATATGACTCAGAGCCTTTTAATGTGGTGACGGATTAAGAATACGGAGAGTCACTCCCCATTCATCCCGTGGGTGTCGTAAGAGCCGACTTAAGGTAATAACGCAGTACAACAGCCCTGCAAAGAGAAGAAAAACTTGAAACAAACCCCATACCAACCCGTCTGGTCAGCATAGTATAGTAGGCCAAAACCTACTTTCTAAGGAGAGGCTTATATCCATCAGTGGACTATTAAAAGCTATTGATGAGGATGATGGGGCCTATTAGTCAATCATACGTTCGCAAGGAGGATTGGCATCAGGCAGGTAGCAAGCCATGAAAGAAGATCAAGAAGAAAATAAAAGACAATTGAATACAATCTTTATTTACTATCATTAATTATGTAGGATGTGCCCAATAAACCCCAGTCTTCCATTTTCCTGTCAACCCAGTCTCTAAACTTGGGTACGTTGGTGTATACTGCTGGAATATCTCTTTGGCCACACCCGATACCCCACGAGACGAGTCCTGTCAGCTTGTACCTGTCGTTACCTATTGGACAGGCTAAGGGGGCGCCACCGTCGCCCTGTGAAAATAATAATATTATATTTTATATTTTAAGAAACAGTTAAAAATACTGTATTTTTCATTCCTAAACTTTCCACTCTTAGGGGTGGTGTTTTTCTCCAAAGAATGGAACCAAACGAAAAGTATACTCGGGTAATTCTTCTGTCTATTTACTTCTGCGTCACTATCTGCAACATAATAATCTTTGAAATCTTTGAATATAAACTGCTTTTATTTAAATTTTTGTCATTATGACATATATATATGATATTTTAGAAAAATTACCAATGGTGAATTTTATATCTGCAGGAGGAGAATGACGCAAAATACTAAAGAATTTAAAATAAAGAATATTTACCCACCCTCCCTACTAGCTACAAAGTTTTAAGTACCTACTCAGAAAGAATTTTTGAAAATTTCAAAGCTAAGGGAATAAAATAAGGGACGAGCGGTTGTATGCAAGTTCGCCATTCTCAAAGTAAGAAACACGAAATTAGAAATAATCGTGGGCGAAGCCGCGAACAATGGCTAGTCAATTAAATCAGTTACAAACGTGAAAAAAATACAGCTAATTCGAAAAACTTCTCCTTTTTTTGGAGTCACTCAAAAATACTTCTACAAGATCATTTCAATTAAATTTTTAGGTGTTATAAAATACCTAAAAATATTAGATCTCTTTTATTAGAATAAAACCGTTTATGAGTTGTGTTTATATTTCTTAAATATACGGTTTTACAGGTATATTTCAGGTAGGGTCCCACTAGTACAAACCTTTTTTATCCTTTCCTTAAAAAAAAGAGAATATCGCATTAGGAATGTGTCTGTGTCGCGAAGGACTTTACAATAATCTACAAATTAAAAGTCGACCTCACAAATGACACCCTGGTGAGAAAAGAATAAGTGGTATCATACCTGGCAAGTATCTTTGCCTTCTTCCCCGCCGGCGCACACGAAGCTGTTATGGAGCTTGAAATTGGACCCAAGTCTGGTCCTCTTCAGTAATGTACTGCAGCGGTCATAGGGTACCATGTTGACCTCAACTTTCTTCAGAATCACGGCGAAATATCCTTTTGCTCCTGGGAGGAGAATACAGCTGGTAGATTTTGGAACTTACCTTTTTTCTTTTTTTTTTTCGTGCGGAAATCCCCTCGGATACCACCGGTGGCATGTCGGACTCGAACCGACTAAAACCGCACGCCGTCTCGGGTACTAATAGCCGGGGAACCAGGTATAACCTATAAAGGAAGTCCCTGGTGCCCCGACATACCTCGGGCCATCTACAGACAAGTAGACGACCCCCCCCGTTTGGAACTTACCTATGGTATCATAGTTACGCAGTCTGTGTCCTCTAAGTAAAACTCGCGCTTTTTCCGAGCTACATATATTCATAATATGTTTATCAGTGTGGTGACAGATTAAGAATACGGAATGTCACCACCCCTATTCGTCCCCTGGGTGACGTAAGAACCGACTAAAGGAGCAAACTACGCAGGACAACAGTACTGCAAAAAGGAGGAAAACTTGACACAAACCCTATACCAACCCGTCTGGCCAGCGTAGTATAGTCGGCCGAAACCTCCTTTCTAAGGAGAGGCTTAAAAGTTTAAGGGATTTTAGTCTGAAATATCACATAGGAAAAATTAACTGCCAAAAACGATATTAAGGCGAGCGAAGTCATGGTTAAAAACCTTTGTTAATAGTACAGGCTTGCCTAGTTTGGGATCATACTTAAAGTGCGTTGGGCAATGCGATTGGTGCAGATTTCAGTGCATGCCAATCGCAGCGCCGAACGCGTTCACTGTCACGATCGAGTAGATGAGAAACTCGCGCACTTAGGCCTCAGAAGTCCGTGTTTCTTAAGTTATTATGATTAATATTTTTTTTTTTTTTTTTAAGGAGGCACAGCCTAGGCTCTGCCTAGGACCGACTGTCTTATCCTAACCTAGGCTCTGCCTAGGTTAGGATAAGACAGTCGGTCTTCCCGAGCGGGGGGCCCCGCCCACGCCCCAGCCTGTCCCTACCGCGACCTCAGGGGTGCCTGACGCCCAACTGCGGTCAATTCTTGACGCAGTTGGGCGTATGCTGGACGGCCGTCTGGCCGGTCTGGAGGCGAGACTGCCTCCTGCGCCGGTCGTGCGCCCCCCGCTTGCGTCGTCGCAGCGGCCTAAGGCTGCTGCCCCGACTGCGCTCCCTGTTGTGGGAGGCCGCGTGTCATACGCGGCGGCGGCGTCGGCGTCGGCCCCGACTCCACCACCGGCTCCCCAGGGGCCGAGGAGAGCGGCCAAGGCACCGGCCCAGGCGCCAGTCAAGGCGCCAGCCAAGGCGCCGGCCCAGAAGCCGGCCCAGAAGCCGGCCAAGACGGGGCCCAAAACGGCGCCGAGGAGTGGAGTGGAGTTCCCTCCGCTCCCCACTCCGACACCCCTGCCGGGCCCCTCCGCACCTGCCCCCTCCAACGAGGGTTGGCAGGAGGTGAGGGGCTCAAAGAAGTCCCGAAGGCGGGCTAGAAGGGCTGCTCAGAAAGCAGCCCAAGCCCAGCCTTCGCTACCGGTGGCAACGGCCTCTAAAAAGAGGCCGCGGAAGCTGCAGCCGCCCAAAACCGCGGCTGTAGTGGTTACCTTGTCGCCGGAGGCGGCCAGTGGCGGGCTCACGTATGCGGCCCTCTTCAAGGGGGCCCGGCCTGGTCTCGCCACTGAATTCGGGACGGCGGGGATGAGGCTGCGTCGCGCCCAGACGGGAGCTCGAGTATTCGAGTCCCTGGGGCTGAAGGCGCGGCGACGGCCGACAAATTCGCCGAGAAGCTGCGGGGAATTTTCGCCACCACGGACGGTGTGAAGATCGCCAGGCCCACCAAATGCGCAGAACTGCGCATCTCGGGCCTGGACGACTCCATCACGTCGGAGGATGTCCGCGATGCAGTCATGGAGAAGACTGGGTGCACCGCGGACACCATCAGAGTCGGCACCGTCCGTCCGGGCCCGGGAGGCCTCGGTGCGGTGTGGGTGAGCTGTCCCGTGGCGTCGGCCAAATTACTGGGCGACGCCGGAAGCATTCTCGTCGGCTTCGTAAATGCCAGAATCACGGTTCTGGCCGCGAGGCCGATGAGGTGCTTCAAGTGCCTAGCCGCGGGACACACTCGCACCAAGTGCGAGAGCTGTTTTGACTGCAGCGGATTATGCTTCCGCTGCGGTCAACCTGGGCACAAGGCGGCAGAGTGCTCTGCCGCCCCCCACTGCCCGGTGTGTGAGGCGGGCAAAAAGCCCGCCAATCACATGATGGGGCAGGGGGGCTGCAAGCCTCCCCGCGCTTCTCGGCAAACGCCGGGGGCTAGCCTGCCGACCCAGGCTACCCCCGACGTCAATATTGCGTCGACGCCGACGCCCATGGAGGAGGTTGTAGAGACGATCCAGTAATGGATCAAGTCTCCAACCTCCTGGTCCAGACGAATCTCAACCACTGTGCTGCGGCGCAGGATCTCTTCCTGCAAACCATGGCACAGGTGTTGCCGTAGTCGCGGAGCCCTACTTTGTTCCTCCCCGTCCAAACTGGATGGGTGACCGGGACGGCTCCGTGGCAGTCGTCGGCTCCACGGCGGCTCATTCCCCGCCCTTGTCGCTAAGAGACAAGGGTAATGGATATGTTGCCGCCGATTGGGGGGGAATCACCATTTATGGTGTATATTTCTCCGCCAACCGGAGTTTGAACGACTTCGAGGTCTTCCTTAACAACTTGGAGGCCTCGATGCGGCGACTAGTGTCTGGGCACGTCCTCGTGCTGGGGGACTTCAACGCAAAGTCCATTGCGTGGGGTTCCCCTGCGACGGACGCCAGGGGCGAAGCCGTCGAGGAGTGGGCGGCGTCGGTGGGCCTCTGTTTGCTGAACAGAGGCTCCACCAACACGTGCGTGCGACAGCAGGGGGGGTCGATAGTGGACCTTTCGTTCGCTACCCCTGCAGTCGCCGCACGAGTAAGGAACTGGTGTGTCCTGGAAGAGGTCGAGACGCTCTCGGATCATTTGTACATCCGATTCGAGCTCTCGCCGAGCCGGAGACGACGGGGGCAGCGAGGCTGAGGTTCCGCCCGTCAGGGAATCGGAGTTGGGGGCGGCTGTTCTACGGATTAGATCCAAGAACACTGCCCCCGGGCCGGACGGGGTTCCAGCCCGAGTGATGGCCCGAGCCCTCGACTACATGTCGGACCACCTCAGGGAAGTGTTGGACGCTAGCCTGGCGTCCGGACGCTTCCCTGAGCGCTGGAAGTGCGGGAAGCTGGTCCTGCTGAGGAAGCCGGGACGGCCTACCGATTCGGTCGCGGCCTATAGGCCTATCGTGTTGCTGGACGAGGCGGGTTAACTTTTCGAGAGGGTGCTCTATGCCCGCATCGTCCGGCACCTCTGCGAGGTTGGCCCCGATCTGTCGGACGCCCAATTCGGTTTCCGAGAGGGGCGTTCGACGATCGATGCCGTGATGCGCCTTAGGGCCGTGACCGAGGAGGCCGTGAGCTGCGGAGTGCCGGAGTACCTGAGGCGGCTGGTGGCAGACTATCTTGAGGAGCGAACCGTCATGTACGAGGACCGAGATGGCGTCTTGAGACGCAGGGCCATGTCGTGCGGTGTTCCGCAGGGGTCTGTCCTAGGACCTCTCCTGTGGAACATCGGGTACGACTGGGCCCTACGAGGGCGTCTCCCCCCCGGGCTGGGTGTAATCTGCTACGCGGATGACACCTTGCTCACGGCCCGGGGGGCTAACTTCCAGGAGGCGGCGCGCCTGGCCGCCACGGGAGTCTCCCTGGTGGTCGGGCGCATTGAGGCGTTGGGTTTGCGGGTGGCCCTGGATAAGACGGAGGCCCTATTATTTCATGGGCCCCGTCGTGGTCCGCCCGCCGGCGCCTCAATCGAGGTCGGCTCGGTCCTCGTACCGGTCCGGGGCCCAGATGAGGTACCTGGGTCTGGTCCTAGACGGTAGGTGGCTCTTCGACGAGCACTTCCGACAGCTTGGTCCGAAGCTGGTGGACACTGCCTCCGCCCTAGGGCGACTTTTGCCCAATTTGGGCGGGGCCAGTGTTCCCACGAGGCGGCTGTACGCAGGGGTTGTCCGGTCCATGGCGCTGTATGGTGCACCGGTGTGGGTGGCGGCTCTGACCGCCCCGAATAGGGCGCGCCTCTGGCGCCCCCAGAGGATATTGGCGGTCAGAGCCATACGCGGATACCGCACGGTGTCCACCGAGGCGGCCTGTGCCTTGGCCGGAACACCCCCGTGGGATTTGGAGGCGGAGGTGCTCGCCGAAGTTTATCGGCGAGTGGCTGACTTCCGGGCGGAGAGCGGATTTCGCCCTCCGCCCGAAGACGTGCGCGAGTGGCGCGAAGCCGCTCGCCGAGCCACCATGGTGAGATGGTCGTTCCGGCTGGAGACTCCACGCGCTGGCTTCGCCGCCGTGGAGGCTCTCCAGCCGGTCATCGCCGAGTGGGCAGGGCGGCAGCACGGGACCCTTTCCTTCCGGCTGACGCAGGTGCTTTCCGGGCACGGTTGCTTCGGAAAGTACCTGTACTCGGTCGCTAGGAGGGAAGCGAGTCCCGCCTGCCACCACTGCGACTGCAGTGAGGATTCGGCCCAGCACACGCTGGCGGTTTGCCCCGCATGGGCGACGCAGCGCCGGGCCCTCACTGCAGTCATCGGAGCAGATCTCTCGCTACCGGCCGTAATTCGCTCCATGGCCGGTAGCGACAGTTGTTTTTACCGCGGTCGCAACCTTCTGCGAGGAGGTAATCTCGCAGAAGGAGGCGGCGGAGAAGGCCCGGGAGGACGACCTCCACTCGGACCTGATCCGCCGCCGGCGAACCGGGCGGCGGAGGCGCGCTTACCTGCGCCTCATGCCGCCCTGAGTGTGGCCGCGGGTGGACGGGATGGGTTCTCCCCTCCACCCGCATTAGTTGGCCAGCCGCGAGGGGGCGGCGTCCGCGTGTGCCGGACGTCGCCTAAAGAGAGGAAAGATCAGAGACGGAGCCCGCACCAGGAGCGGGCCGGCGCTGGGAGGGGTCCAGAAGGAGATAGCTACCTGGACCCCTCCTAAACTGGAAACGCAAAGAGGGCACACCGTGTGGTTTTAGTCGGTTCGAGTCCGACACACCGCCCCGCCGAACGAGAGCCCCGGCGGGGTGACGGTCCGAGGGGATTTCCACACGTAAAAAAAAAAAAAAAAAAAAAAAAAAAGACAGTCGGTCTTATCCTATCCTAGGCAGAGCCTGTACTGTTCCTCTGTTGCGGTGCTGTGAGATATAGAACAAATAATAATAACTTTATTTCTCTAGTATCGTAACTTAAATTATTTAAATAAAATAATTTAAGTTTCTTAGTGAGAGCTGGAGTCTATACAAGGCTTGAAACCTGTATGACGTATCTCCAGGCTCACGCTACGGCCGAAAAATATCAATTATGAAAAACTTAAAAGGGGGTTAAAATATAAACTCATGTAAATGATAGAAGACTGGGTTCTATTGAGCACATCCTACATTCTCATTTTCTAATTATTTTAAAAGACAACTCTCGCATTAGGAATATATCCCTGTGTCGCGGGGGACTTTAAAAAACACACATGAAACGGACACAAAGAACACCCAGACTCAGAACAACGATTTGTGGATCACACAAAGTGTTGCTCTGAGTCTAGCCCACAACATTCAGCGCAATAGGAAGCGGCGAGGTGACCGCTTAAACCACTACGCCATCCGTGCAGTCAAACATTATTAATGATAATTATTAAAGATATAATCAATTGTCTTTTATTTTCTTCTTGTTCTTCTTTTAACTCTATTTAGGCAAAGCGAAATGGGTAATATTGGAAAGGGCTGATTCCTTTTATGGCTGGCTACCTGCCTGACGCTAAGATGGGCTTGGGAACGCAATCGTTTTAAAACTGTATCGTGTAAAAACAGACTACTAAGCCAGAGATCATGGGTTCGATTCCCACCCAGGACAAATATTTGTGGAATAACGAGCTTATTTCTACTAGCCACTAGACCAAGAGGCCCGTCGTTAGTGAAATTTATGGCTTGTGTACATTTAGTACCAGCTGGACGTGGACTGAAACCAAGACTTACCGAACTCATTCTTCCCCCATCCATTGGCGATGCAGTTCTTGTGATTGTCAAAGACCTCGTCCTGCTCCGGCATACAGATGACGTTGATGTGTTCAGTCAGCTCCAGAGGCCGTTCAAGACGCAATAGTGCTATATCATACTTAAGGTTTTTCTTGTTGAAGTCTGCAAGAAAAGTGGTAGTGAAAGATGTAGATTGAAAACCTCTTTTCAGGGTTCCGTAGTCCTTACAAAAAACCCTTATAATAATAGCCTCAAATATCTCACACGTGAGATTTTTTCTCATATTAATAAAAGACAACACCCGCACTAGGAATTTAACCTGTGTAGCGAGGGATTTTACAAACATTCATAAAATGGACACAAAGAACACCCAAACTCGGAACAACAATTTGTGGATCACAGTAAGTGTTGTCCCATGTGGGGATCGAACCCACAACATTCAGCACAGTAGGAAGCTGCGAGGTGACCGCTTAAACCATTACGCCATCTCTGCAGTCATATACCGATAAAATATAATTAATTTTCTAATCACAATGATTTATTAGCCATACTATATGCTTTAAAAATCGTAAGAGAGTGACTCACTGTAATGTATAAAGATCTCCTTGACTTGTCTCTCCTCGTGTTTATAGATCTCCCTCTCAGTGTTAGTGTCCCATTCACCAGCTCGGATCCTGAGCGTCTCTGGAGTATATCTGTTGATATCAGAGAAAGTGTCGAGAGAATGTAGACTTTATAATTTTATACTAGCTATGCGACTTCATCCGAAGAAGTAAGTTTTTTAAAAACAAGTCCCGCATTAGGAATATATCCTGTGTCGCGGGGGACTTTACGAACATACATAAAACGGACACAAACAACACCCAGACTCAGAACAACAATTTGTGGATCACACAAAGTGTCATCCCATGTGGGGATCGGACCCACAACACTCAGCGTAGTAGTAAGCGGTGTGGCGACCGCTTAAACCACTGCGCCATCCGTGCAATCAAATAATTCTAACTGAAATTTTAACGTAAATTGTAAATCCTCGAATGTAGCTTAATCATTATTCGTTTAATACTTTACATATTATATTGTGTGTACGTATGTCAGAAAATAAAAAATAAAACATGAAAGTTTTTATGTTAGAGGGGGCAGACGAGCAGAGAGTCACGTATATTTTCAATTATCTACAATTGCCGTGTGGTGACGGATTAAGAATACGGATTGTCACCACACCCAATCATCCCGTGGGTGTCGTAAGACCCAACTTAGGGAGCCAACTACGCAGGACAACAATCCTGCAAAGAGAAGGAAAACTTGACACAAACCCTATACCAACCCGTCTGGCCAGCGCGGTATAGTAGGCCAAAACCTCCTTTCTAAGGAGATACCTATGTCCAGCAGTGGACTATTAAAGGCTGTTGATGATATTGATGATCTACAATTTCTCTTTTTAGCTTTAAGGCTTTGTTATTTACATTAATAATATTAAAAACAAATATATAATCCATTTGTTATATTACCTCTATGTATTAATCTCATATATTATGTTATCTCTTCTTTTCGTTTCAATAAATATCTTATATTAAGTTTAATGATTTGTTTCTTTTTTTTAATGTCAGCTTAGTTTGAAACTTTAACACGAAATGAAATGATATTTATTTCTGTAAGTAAATCTTTATCAGAAATTTTTACGCTCGCTTGAAGACCATGACCTTTCGCTTATCACGTTTACCCAACCTTTAATTAAGCTATATTAAGTTCTGTGACATCACACTAAAACCCATATTTACATGTATTTTTATATTTCATTTATCACTTTTTACATTTATTTCTCCCCCAACATTGTCTTAGAAATAAAATCACTAAAATATACAGCTACGAGTACTTAGCATTTTATGCGTTCATTAACTTGCATTTGATGCGTTCGCTGCAAGCCCACCCCTATGTAAAGAGAATAAGACGCATCTACATCCGTTCTACGCGAGTTTTGATACTTCTGTCCCTCTCCAGGGTCTGCCTGCGACCTGTCAATAGGCCTCGCTGGTATCCATCTTGTGCCGGCAACGTGTCCATAGGAGTAAACCAGTGATCATTAACACGAAGGAAGTTATGGAGAACTTAAATAATTAATAAATAAATGACGCTTACTTGGAAGCTACATGAGCGCCAGTCATCACAACTTGTGGGTGTATAAGTACTCCAACACCGGTGTACGTGTGGTTTCTGGAATCCAATAAAGCAACCACCCATGGAAATTCTCCAAATTGGGTGTTGGCGTGCTGAAAAATTTATTTGGGAACAATAAGAATATTTTGCCACACACGGCCGTCTGTTCAAATAACGCATAGCCTGTACTATAGTTACCAGACCGAGGGACTTCACAACCATACATGAAACGGACACAAGTAACACCCAGACTCAGAACAACAATTTGTGGATCACATAAAGTGATTGTTGTTCTGTGTTGTCTGTCTGAGGTGATCGCTTAAACCACTACGCTATTTGTGCATTCTGTGATCTGGGTTGGAACCTAACCCACGACCTCTGGTTTAACGGTTACCATCACTAACAAATAGACACAAACCTGATGCTGTATACTGGGTGGGGTTCGAACCCACAACCATTTAATCTCAACTACATAGTCTGACGCCGGTGTGGTGATCACCCGTGACCCATTTCCACACGAAAAATAAAACTTTATGACAAAGCGTATATTTTAGGGTTAAGGCGTCATCACGGCGCTCACGATACAGTACAACTCAGGTATACCCTAGGAAAGAAGCCCTGGGAACCCTGACAGACCTTGACCGATAAAGAGCAGCCACACAATTGAGTGCAGAGACGTTCACGGAACAGGAGAGCCTTCTCCTGTTCCCTTCCTGCCGCGTTTTAGCGGAGATTACTTCCTCACTAAAAGAAACTGCTGAATCCCACGTTCTCGTACGCAAATAAAGGAATAAAAGTTTTATTTGATTCGAGTGCGATTATTGAGCTTCAGCAACGAATTAGAAGCTTTTATTTTTTATTCCACTATAAAGATCAAAAACCTGTTTATTCCAGATACAATATTTAAACTGGTAAGCCCCGATAGATGTATACTGATCAGATCAGCAAGCCGTATCGTAACTAGCATTTTATAGTTCCCGGGGCAAGCTTCTGTAATTTTTATTTACACTTTATGCACAAATGTCACAAAGGCGGACTTAATGCCGTAGGCATTTTCTCCCAGTCAATCATAAGGCGATGCAGAGCCAAAACATGGTAGATGCACAAAATAAACTAAAAATGTGATTTTAAGAAAAATATAGCATATATTTTAAAATTTCGCCCCATCGAAAATCCGTTCTGAGTGGGTTTATTTTGGGATGATGACATCAGAGAAGTGGCAGGAGTGATATGGAACAGAGTGGCTCAAGGAAGATCAATTTGGAAAGCATCTAGGCCTTTGCCCACCGGCATACAGGTCAATAGAAATAAACAATGTGCAAATCTAGACCTATAATTACTTGCCTTGATTGATTCATCAACGAAGAGCTTAAACCGCTGGGACTACAAACTTGAAATTTTGGCAGGTGATGCTTTATAAATTATAAGAACCCACTTAGAAAGGATTTTTGGAAATTTAACCCCATAATAAAAGATGAATAGTTGTATGTAAGTTCTTTATTTTCAAAGTTAGAAACACGAAATAAGAAAAAATCACGCTGGCGAAGTAGCCGGAAATAGCAAGTATCGATTTAGGTTTTTAAATTAAAAATACTCACACTAAATGTGACGCCCAGTCCTTTAGGATTCCTGTATCCGCAGCCCTTGATCTTGGTAGGGTCGGGCAGCGGTGTAGGCTTAGCAGGATCTGATGGTATTGTGCAACAGTACTCTATGGACTCCTGGCATTGTCTTTCATCCTCTTCACCGAACCTAGCAGCAAAAGATGACAAGAATATTATTGCTAAAGTTATAAACACACTTTTATGTCAGGAATTGCAAGTTTCTTTAACTGCAGGCAGTATATCATCAAGGTCACCTTTTTGCTCTTGTCCTAATGTCAGGCGAGAGGTAATTTACTCGATTACCACGGAGGACAATATTGTGTGATGAGCACGATCATTTTGTTTTGTTTACTTACAAAATCTTGTTCGTAATTTTTTTTTTATGGTATAAGGGCGCAAACGAGCAAACGGGTCACCTGATAGTAAGCAACTACCGCCGCCCATGGACACCTGCAACTCAAAAGTCACAAGTGCGTTGCTGCCCTTGGATCCCTCCCGCTCGAGTAAGCGGGAGGGGGGATTTGGGCTTCGGTAACCTCACTCACTCAGTGACTGACACGAAAGAATTGCTCAACACCGGTTTTCTGTGAGACCGTGGTATCACTACGGTCGAGCCGGCCCATTCGTGCCGAAGCATGGCTCTCCCACGGTAATTGCATAAATGCAACTCTTTATGGCTCGATTTTAGTTACACCACTATCAAAGCATTATACTATACCTACCTATACTAATATAACTATATGTAGATATTCAAAAATATGATAAATTAGTAGTAGTAAATTGTCTGCATTTATCGTCAGTATTATGTCGAATTAAACGTATTCATAAACTAAAATATTTACTTCCGTTTTGGTGCTAGCGGAAAAATAACTCGCTAATATGTTCCGCTGAAATGAACTGAGGATAATATGAATACCCTCCGTTTAAATCTTTTAGCAATATTTACACAAAATAATTTTTGTATAACAGAAAAAAAGGTAGGCCCCTAAAAAGTGTCCTGTGGAATACAAAAAAAATAGTTTTCAGAGCCACACAGATTTTCTATTCTGAGATATCGGCAATGAATCTCCGTGTTATTGATCTTTCGTCTACGTATTGTTATCGTCAGTTAACCGAAAGAGTCCATCCTCTTATCGGTGATAGGTTCGGTGTCAAATGACCTGAACAAAACGATGTTTAACTGTTATATTTGTATCTCCTATACATGTCCGTGTGGTGACGGATTAAAAATACGGTATGTCACTACTCTAATTCATCCCGTGGGTGTCGTAAGAGCCGACTAAGCGCGGAAAAAAAACCCAGGACAACAACAAAGAAGGAATACTTGACACAAACCCTATACCAACCCGTTTGGCCAGCGTGGTATAGTAGGCCAAAACTTCCTTTCTGAGGAGAGGCTTATGTCCAGCAGTGGACTATTAAAGGCTGTTGATGTGATAATGATTATATGTATGTCATGTCATTCAATGTTAAGTTGATTTGTGTACGCAAAATGGTTTGTATCTATTTTTCGGGTCAATTTTTTTTTACTCATACGTCAGCAATTTCAATAAGCAACAGCAATGCGTGGCATGGTACAGCTAGTAATTTATATACTTAACAAATTAGACTCAAAACAAATTGCATTAAATAATTTACAGATGCACGACAAGCTACAATGTATTGCATCACGATACTAGGGAGTCGGATTGCCGTTCAACGAACGGTTGCGAATCGAACAATATACTTATTTGGCTGTATTTATATATATTGTTATTGTATATTGTTTATTATATAATATATTGTTATTGAATACGATATGCAGTTGGCAATTTGCATTAGCGGTATAATTGGGTAGTAGCGGTTAATCAATTATACCCCCCACTGGGTCTTTATGGCAAGTTTAACTGCGGGTTGCTCCCAGGGAAACCTAATATTAATGCACCCCTTTTTTTTTGTTGACAGTGTTGGAAAATTCCTTCGGATCTCCTGCTCCTCGGGGACTCATCAACCAGGTGTATGTGATGATTCCACTACAAACCACCCCGACGGCCAGCCTCAGGTGTCCCACTCTGGGGAGGACCCGGACCATGTTATTTCAGGTTCTTCCCGAATTGACAAAATGCCTAATCAGGCCCTATCCCAGGGGAGAACACTTCCCCCCTGGATCGCGGCATGGCGGCCCGATTGCATCTTAATGTAATCAGGCCGCCATTTCAACCCCTACCGCAGCAATCAATCTGCCACCAGAGGTCCCCCAATCGCCCCTGTCTAACCCTTTCAGAAATAAAAGCGTGAGTGTATGTATAAAAGTATATAAGTATACTATCAGTCAATCTAGCTTTTATAGTATAAGATCTGCTTAGTTTGAAACTAGATGGCGTTGTGTGTCAGATGTCCGAAATTACTATTATTATTGTGGTGACTTCCACTTATAGTGAAAACAAAAACATACTTCAGCGCCATCTAATGAAGACACTCCTAACTACTGAGTAACTGCTAATCCTCTATCGCGATATAAATAATTCTAAAGCGGATTAGCATATGCATAGCATACAACTTCTCAACATCTACCGTTGGGTCCCAACCCACCAGGCATGATCACCTCGCCTGGTCGAAGGATCCCCCCTTTATGTTGGAGGGACATGACACCCGTTCCTCCACATTATTATCATGTCAATTTTTTTAAAGAAGTTCCTCACCTGACGTCCAGTTCTCCATATCCTGTGATACTGGCGTTATTTACGTCGACTCCTATCATGTTATCATCACACAGGTAGTAAGGAACACATTGACAGTTCTGGCCATCTTTGTCACCCAGTCCGCTGGAGCCAGTTGTGGAACTTACGAGGTTCTGAAAAAGATTTCTAGATTAACTTGACCAATAAGCATCTTTTTTTATTGTATAAGGGGGCAAACGAGCAGACGGGTCACCTGATGGTAAGCAACTACCGCCGCCCATGGACACCTACAACTCTAACTCACAAGTGCGTTGCTGCCCTTGGAGTCCCTCCCGCTTGAGTCAGCGGATTTGGGCTCCGGTAAACTCACTCACTCAGTGAAAGGCAACGAAAGAATTGCTTAACACCGGTTGCATCTAAGTAAGTTCTGAAACTTATCATCATCCTCGGAGTCGTTTCCCAAACTAGGCTGTCACAGTCTACTACGACACGACAGAACTTCGATCTTCCTAACCTGGACTGATATCAGACCTCTACAAACCAAGTACAAATTGATATCGAAGTTCTGTAGAAAACTGTTGTTGGACTTTTAAGTTCACCATCTACCCCTAAGGATTGCCACAGATGTTTGCGTAGCAACCCATCCACAGACTGACCTGGCTAGGATTGCTTAACTTTGCAATGTGTTAAAATATTCTTTTACCACTTAGCCATAACATTTATGTTATGGATAAAAAATTGCACCCAGACACAGGACAAATGAACGACATCGAACCCACGACCTCTGGCTTAGCAATCAAGATCACTAATCACTAGACCATCTATCCAGATGTGAGTGTTATGTATATATTATGTTGTGTAACTACCTGTTTCTTTGTAGTGGTTTCAGTTCCAGGATTAGGTAAATAGTTTCCGTTGAAGATGGCTTCAAGGATAACAGGATCTATCGTCGTCTGCGAGCTGGCGAACGCTACAAGAACAACGGTAAGGAGGAACAGCTTCATGATTCTGGAACAAAATTCTGGAATGGGAATACTGATACTAGAGCTGGCAATTCCACGGGACTTATATGCGTGTGTCACTTCGCAATAGATCCTTTTTTATTTATTTTTTTGTTGACGGGGTGGAAAATCTCTTCAGATCTCTGTCTCCTTGGGGATGTAGGAGCCAGGAGTATGTGGTGTTTCCACTAAAAACAACCCCGACGGCCGGACTCAGGCGCCCTACTCCGAGGAGGACACGGACCATGTTATTTCAGGTCCCCCCCCCTGATCGACGCCGCACCCGGTAAAGCCCTATCCCGGGGAAGAGATCAGAGAGCCTAGTGCACGTTTATTTCACTTCTATTCGATTGTCACCGTGACCGCATTGAACGTTGTGATTGGCCCGAACTAAACTGTTCACCAATCACATTGCCAAAACGCGGTCACCGTAACGATCGAGTCGATATGAAATAAACTTACAGTAGGCCCTTAGATATTGGAGAGAACACAAGGTTTTTACACGCTTTATATTAGCTTCACTTGTATGTTTGTTTGTATGTTTGTAACCCACTCCTTTGGGCGTGATTTTGACTGACTTTAAACGGTCAGAATTCGTTCAAACTGTGTAGATATATCGAGGACCGATGACAATACACTAATTTAAAAAAAACTTAAAAACACGCTTTCTATAGAAAACCAAACTAAAAAATAGAAAATAAATTTGAAAAAAAGCGTTAGGTGCCTGTTGTCAATAGTAAAAAGCACCCCACGCTTTTTTTAGTTTTTTTTTAAACTATAATTTTTAACTATTTGATTTCTTCGTTTTGTCAGCAACGCCGAAGCTGGTCTCCGTGGCGATCGAGTTGTTTTTTTTTTTTTAATGGAATATGGGACAAACGAGCAGACGGGTCAACTCAGGAATCACAAGGAAGGAGTGTGCTCTTTTCTTGACGGTTAAATAAACTCACACTACGCCCTCTGAGGGCCAAGTGCGATTTTATTTCACTTTTACTCGATTGGTGAACGCGTTCGGCGCTGTGATTGGTGAAGAGTTCAGCGCGGGCCAGTCATAACGCCGAACGCCATCACCATCACGATCGAGTTGATATGATATAAACTCACACTAAGTCCTCTGGTCATTGATAGGAGGGATACTTACTTCAAATTTAAAACTACTTTTACTACTTAATAATCACCCTTAGAGGTTAATTTCTCTTAAAATTTGAAAGGGGTGGTCCCTCAGTATACTTTTTCAAACTAGAAATTATTTTTTCGAATAGGTTCATAAATGTCGGAGTTCAGAGGCAACAAATATAAATAATACACAAAACCAAATTGGGAACCATTTCTTTACGTCGTTAAAAAAACAAATAAATTTATCTAAATAAGCTTTAATCGACGAATCTTTTAATAATTGTTAGTACCTAACAAAAGAATGCGCGTGTAAGCGCATTCCTTTGTTACAGCTATGTATGTCACAGCATTAACAGCGACCCCAAATCATTTCCGTATTTTATAATGTTATTATAATTTCCGTAATATTTTTACTAGTCAGCTAAACCTCTATTTGAATGTCTGTATAGATACTCAATAGTTTAATGCTTCCATAATGTAAATTGTACAGTTGGTAAAAACTTAAGCTAGGTATCATTTATGGAACTTGTCGGGCACAGCATAGATGTTAGCCCACACACGATAAATATTACACTGTAAATAATAACACAATTTACTAACAAAAAGAGTAATAAAGTAGTATCTGAAAACGCAGCAATAGTTACACTACACAAATAAAATTTATCACTTTAAAAATTGATTTCATTACCCGCCATTTTCTTTTGCCAATGGCGCGAAAATTTTAACACACGTCACAGATTTGATACACAGTGTAGTATTTCTTTGTTCATATATCTATTTTAGTAGCAATCTCATCGTATTTATTGTAAACATTGTGTTATCTGCTATACTTACAAAGGTCGACAGTGCATACAATATCATATATACCTAATTATATATTTAAATTAATAAATCAGTAGCTACATATACATATCTACTAGCTGTTGACGGAGGCTTTACTCGCATGCGTGTTTTTAACTTTGAAAATTTCATTCATTCCTTATTTGTTTAAAATTTTGACGGGCCTGTTGGTCTAGTGGTTAGTGACCCTGACTGCTGAGGACAAATATTGTGTGATGAGCACGGTCATTTGTTCTGTGTCTGGGTGTAATTTATATATAATATATATTTAGAAATATATAAGTATGTTTATCAGCAGTCTGGTTACCATAGTACGGGCTCTGCCTAGTTTAGGATCGAACGGCCGTGTGTGAGATGTGTAAAAAAGGTATTATTATTATTATTTTCTCTGTTTCAGTTTAGGCTTTGCTTTGATGAATTAATCAGTCAGGGCAAGTAATTATATGTGACATATAGATTATAGAAATCACAGAACTATAAAATATAATCTTGTATACAATACCGTCTTTACCATAAGGGCACACGGGGCCCGTGCCCAGGGCCCCAAAGGTCACAGGGGCCCCGAAAAGTGCATACATAGTGCTTATTATGATATAGATTTTTTCCATTTTAAATCGATATAATCATACAAAAAAAGAATTATAAGTAAATTGGGGCTTAATTAGCGACTTTGTGTGTAATAACATCCCATTGGCTTGTTATAGTATATGTACCTATATATTAAATTAGTTTTACTGTTCAACAGGGCTCCAAATTCTTGTGTACCCGGGGGCCCCGACATGGCCTCAGACGGCCTACATAAATAGGAAACTCGAAACAGTTAATAACCGCTTTCTTCTGCCTCAGCCAATTTCTGTTATTTTTTACTATATTCTGCAAGTGGTAAAGGTTAAGGCGTGAAAACATAACAAACAAACTCACTTTAACATCCTTACATATTTTAAAATGAATTCCTCCGGCCGCGTCTGTCTCTATAAACGCGATAAACTCAAAAACCAATAAATAGTGTGATTCCTGAGGAAGGTTCAGGTGTATAATTCATGATGGTTTTATGTAAATTGAATGAAAAATAACGATTATTGTTGAAGAGGTCGCAAAAATGTTTAACCGGGCGAAAAAGGATCACGGTTAACGAAATTCACGCGGGCGAAGGTGCAGGTGTAAGCTAGTTTATAATATAAGTAAGTATGGATTTTGTTTATTAGTTCTTAACGAGTTTTCATGATATCGGCAGGAAAAATTAAATTAGGTATAAAGTTTTCTTTGACTTTTAATTAGTAAACAGTTAGAAAATATATAGAGATCTAGTATAGGTACATGTTACATGTACAATGTTTGAGGTTATCAAAGTTTGAGGTCTAAGTGCAATGACAGTTCAAATTTTACATTACACAATAAAATACACAAAGTTAAGAAAAAAGTTTGTACTCTATGATACTGGTGTTTATGTTAGCTAAACACTATAGATACTCTGCACCTGTATAACAAAAAACTAGACTTGTGTAACTTTATGGTAATTTATTTTTAAATTCTACATTCTGTTCTACAAATATTTTTGCATAATCTGCGTTCTATAGGTGTGCCTATCTTATTCGCATTTTAACATTCATACTACCATACTCACATATATTATAAATGTGAAAGTGACTTTATTTCTGTGTTTACTTGTTTGTTACGCTATCACCCTTAAACCATTAAACCTACTTTTTACCGCGAAAACCGACATACACGCGGGCGGAATGGTTTAGGCTAGTATTCAATATATTAATAATACTTATGTATTCGAAGTAAATAAAAAATAAAGATACTTACTCATTGATTATCTAAAGAATTTATAAACACTTATATTTACAGACCTTCACACTCACAGAATATAGATGCTAAAAACACTTTTTAAAACCGATATACAAATTATAAATCCTTTAGCGTTTTATAATTAACTTACCTTGTTACAAAAAAAAAAACAAATTCAAAACTTATTCTCGTAATCACAACAGGTTAAAAACAATTGTTTACTTTTTAAACTAGCGCCTGCAATGGCATCTTCGCGGCGACTGATTTAGATTTTTACTATCTCATCAACTTCGCTCCAAACTTGAACCGGGCAGCCGATTACGCCATTACAAGGAAAACTCGTTTGCATACAAAAAGCTACGTTGAGGATATAGTTTTGTACCCTTAGAACGAAATGTATGCAAAAGTCGTAAAAGCAGCTGGAAGACACATTTTGAGAGTGAGAAAATGACAAAATTCGAAAATTAATGGAAACGTGATACCACATCCTTTTTAAGGAGAGGCCTATGTCCAGCAGTGGACTGTTAAAGGCTGTTGATGATGATGATGATGATACCACATCAAACAAAGTGAATAATCTATATCTACCTATAAAAATGTTAAGTTGGTTTGTGTACACTTCAAAAATCAAAAAGTTCTGCACCGATTGAGCTCAAATGTTGCCACGATATACGAACACACGGTTTTTATCTATTTTTTTCAACCACAATGTGCTACAGCTGCAAAGAGTGGTGGTACACAGGGTACAGCTAGTATTATATAAAATAATTCAAGTCATGTTACGTGTACTTTAGATAATAAATGTAACCTATTTCAGTCCATTGAATTCCTTGTTACATATTTACCTATCCATCCTTATTATGAACATTTTAAATATCTTTAGAGACCTTTATGGTAAAATATTATACGGGTATACTAACTAAAGCGAACGAATTCAGATGTCGAATTTATCAAATTTAAAAATGGCGGACGTTTTAACATGGAAGAAGACTTTTGGCAGTTCTTCATCAGCAACTGGCCGTCCTTTTCCTAATTATATAGGAGAGCCATGCTTCGCCATAAATAGAAGTGATACCACGGCCTCACAGAAAAGGTGTGTGGCGACTTCTACATAAAAACAAAGAAACCTACTACAATGCCATATAAAGAAGACACACCGAACTACGGAGTAACTGGTAATCCTGTATCGCGATATGAAGGATTCTTACGCCGATTAGCATATATACAATTTCCCAACATCAAATGTTGGGCTGCGGCCCGCCAGGCATGATCACCTTGCCTGGTCAGAGCATCCTCCCTTTGTATTGGAGGGACATCACACCCGTTCCTCTACAGGTGTTGAGCAAATTTTTCGTAGCTTTTCACCGAGTGAGTGAGGTTACCGGAGACCAATGATCCTGGGGAAGCGGACGCGAAGGGTGGCAGCGCACGTGTCTCTTTAGTTGCAGGTGTTCATGGCCGGAGCTAGTCGCTTACCATCAGCTGATCTGTCTGCTTCTTTGCCCCAACACCATAAGAAACTGGTGAGAATCGTGTAGTAGACTGCACGGTGGCTTAAGCGGTCACCTTGCCGCTTTTTAATGCGCTGAGTGTTGTGGGTTCGATCGATGGGACAACACTTTGTGTGATCCACAAATTATTGTTCTGAGTCGGGGTGTCCTGTGTCCGTTTCATGTATGTATGTTTGTAAAGTCCACCGCGACGCAGGATTTAATCCTAGTGTTGTCTTTTATTATTACCAATGTAATATTCTAATTTAGGTCAATATTATTTTGTGTCTCCTGTTATTCTTACATAGCTATCTTGTGTTAGTCGTTGTTTTACTAACATACTTTTTCGAGAGAGTTTTCGAAAGAAATAATCGTTTAGCTCGCCAGTTGAATTATTCAATGTGCAAGGTAACATTAAAATCCCGTTGCCGAAACAAAACCTGTTCCACACAATTTTACTTTCCTTTTTATCGCTAAGTTCAGTTCCAACCGGATCGTTGGAATTTTAAAGGATCTCATCAAATGATATCAATTTCCGCAATTTTTTTCGCAAGCTTCTGGACAGTGTCGGCCTTAGCCATTGCGTGGCCCTGGGCAGGTAAAACATTAAGAGACCCCGCGCAGGTAGACCCTTGTCTTTGTGGAATTAGTATTAACGATGATACTTGGAACAAACAAAAACAACGCTACACATACTGCTGCTGGAAGCTGGAATTAATGAAATACGTGATGTGACGTGACGTTAGTTTTATAATGCGAGATTCAAATAAACATACAACAACAAACATTCAAATAAACAAAACAAAAACATCTACTTGGGTTGTGGCGCGAGTGCGCGAGGCCCCTGCATGAGCAAGGCCCCGGGCGGTTGCCCTGCTCGCCACCCCCAAAGGCCGCCTCTGCTTCTGGACATTGAAAAGTAATATTTTCAATCCTCGGGAACATTCTTTTTTTCACGTCATCCCATCAACAGTCTTTAATAGTAAACTGCTGGACATAAGCCTCTCCTTAGAAAGGAGGTTTTGGCCTACTATACCGCGCTGGCCAGGCGGGTTCGCATAAGGTTTGTGTCAACTATTCCTTCTCCTTGCAGTGGTGTTGTCCGGCGTGGTTTGCTTCATTAGTCGGCTCTTCTTACGCCACTCACGGGATGAATAGAGGGGGTAAGACTCCGTATTCTTAACCCGGTCACAATACGGATTCTTTTTATGAAAAGACTTAAAATTAAACAAACCTACTTGCTTTTGAATTCCCTTAAAATTTGGGATTGGAATTAAACAAATTTTAGAAGGTAATTTTAACCAAATAGTAACACAAACTGTATGAAGATGCGATCCTCCAGTCAAACCATCGATCCGGTTTTGCGGGATAAAGAAATTGATGTCATGTTTATAAAATAAAATTAAAGGTAAATAAAAAAAACTTACTTTTAATTTATTGTCGTACCGAAATAAAACTTATAAACTTCTGAATGGCCTGTTGGAGAATAGAATGGAACTTTGCGTAGAACGAAGTAACGCCGGTTTTATAACCATGTGTGCATGGGCCAGTGCTACCATTGCAATTATATTTTATTGAGAAAATTGTTTTCTAAGCTTACTTAAGTGTGAAATGCTATTCCTTCCTATCATCTATCTCTTGTAGTTTGATTTGACTCATAGTAGTTACATGCAGCATTTTAGTTTTACTAGATGGTGTTTTGCTAATTAAAAATTTCAATGAAATAACTCAAGATTTTATTTGCATATCTACTTATATGACAAGCCTCGGTGGTAAAAAAGGTATTTAAGTATTCTATCAGTCAATCTAGCTTTTATAGTACAAGCTCTGCTTGGCTTAGAACTAGATGGCGTTGTGTATCAGATGTCCAAAATATTATTATTACTTAGTTGAGTTTTACTTTTATAAGATTAAGTTTAACTAACACCACACCACAGATAATTTTATTTATATAATTACAAAAATACCACTATAAATAATGTTATTATCTTCCATTCCAATTTTTGGTGATCCACAAATTGTTGTGATTTGTGACCGTTTTATGTGTCTGTTGTCTTGCGACACAGGATATATCCCTAGTACGAAAAAAATTTAAATTTAAATTAAAGTAAATTAAAGTATTCACGCAAGTATATGCTTTAAGCTACCCATGCAATTCTAAACGTGATTGGACAACAGAGATGTTTTTCTATATGGCTATCAGCGTAACTTTTATAGCGCGATGTAGAATCGTGTGCATTACTTAGAGAAGTGCTGCTAATCACCACTAGATGGCACAATAGAATTGCCTGTATAATGTGGAGTTACCGACTTCAAAATCATTTCGAATAAAACTCAAGTTGTGAAATATAAAATATTTATTTATTTAATCTTAATATTAGGTAAGGCAGTACTGCAATTAGCTTTTTCTAGTTCGCCGTGGAGCTGCTTCAGACGAGCTCTGGCCAGCGTCAGGTTGGCGTTAGTAGCTCTCATACTTTCCTATAAAAAACAAAAAAAAAATAGTGATTGAACTCCCCCGAAACGGCTCGACTGATTTTCGTGAAATTTTGTGTGCATATCGGGTAGGTCTGAGAAACGGCCAACATCTATTTTTCATACCTATTATAATTTTTATTTGTTGACAAAAAAATATGAAATAATGTATATGGCAAAACAAAGTTTGCCGGGTCAGCTAGTAACCAGTATAAAATGATAGCTTATGAAAGGAAATAATAAAATAATGGTTCTTCCACACTGCATTACATGTGTAACATATATGCCGCTGTAGCGACGCGTCGCCACGCCGCCGCCGGTAAGAAGCACCACATCAGATGTTTGACATCAAAAGTTGATATCACGGATCATCACCTTTAATAGTCTACTGCTGGACACAGGCCTCTCCTTAGAAAGGTTTTGGACTACTATACCACGCTGGCCAGACGGGTTGGTATAGGGTTTGTTTCAAGTTTTCCTTCTCTTTGCAGTGCTGTTGTCCTGCGTAATTTGCTGTCTTAGTTGATTCTTATGACACCCACGGGATGAATGCTAAGTCAATCGGGTAATAAAAGAAGAAACTCACCTGTACATTCAGCAGAGTTTTATCAGCCCTGGTCAATTTTTCTACCGATATATCTGTGGTGTGTTTGATTAGACCCTCAAGGGTAGCTCTGAAGGATATATTACATTCCCCTGAAACAAAATTTTAAAACTGTTGGTTTAGTGGTTTGAGATCCTGACTACTGCGTTAGGGATCGTGGGTTCTAATCTCATCCAGGACAAATTATCATGTGATGACCATGATCATTTGCTTTGCGTATACGTATAATTTATGTTACTCATAGATAATGTAGCTTTCTATTGGTGAAAGAAGTTTTGAAATCGGTTAAGTGTTTTAGGCGTGAAAGCGTAACAAACAAACCAACTTGTGACTTTTGAGTTGCAGGTGCCCATGGGCGGTTGTAGTTACCATCAGGTGACCCGTCTGCTCGTTTGTTAAAAAAAAAACTCACTTTCACATCCATACTAATATTATCTGAAACTGTGTCTGTCTGTCTGTTACCTCTTCACACTTAAACCGCTGAACCGATTCAAAATGAAATTTCGTGTAGAGATAGTTTGAGTTTCGCTTTCTACAACGCTGAGTGTCGTGGGTTCAAACCCTACATGGGACGACACTTTGTGTGATCCACAAATTATTCTTCTGAGTCTGTGTGTTCTTTGTGTCCGTTTCATGTATGTTTGTAAAGTCCCCCGCGACACAGAATATATTCCTAAGGCGGCTGTTGTCATCAACAATATTTTATTATTATTATACAGACTATAATATACTCGTACTTACATAGTTTCTGATGAAGCAGTGAGTTGTATATGGTGGCTTGTGGAGGTGGAGCTTGAGGGTGTAAGACGCTATGGAGAGGAACGTCCTGCTCCTCTAGACTTATGGATAAATTCAATTTGGATTCTGAAAAGAAATTGATGATATCTGTTCAATACGGTGAGATTAGGTATTTGTTATTTCAAATAATTTTTGCGTCTTAAAAAGGCACCAGGAATATATCCGGTGTCGTGGGGGACTTTATGATTCATCTCACAGTTTATGCCACTTGATAATGGATTATTCAAAAGGCCAGAACTCAGGGGTACACTAATAGCTAATGAAGAGTTCCACTAACCAACGACACCCTCATGGCCTCTCAAGAAACAGGTGATAAGTAATTCTTTTGTTGCTTAGTGATAATTATAGGAGAAACCCAACTTCCCCCACATAATTATTATAAACAAATAACATACCACATATAAGTTTGATTAAGAAAATAGTAGTGTTGAAAAAAACTAAATTAAACTGATGTAAAATTTGCCAATATTTAAAGGGAAGGTTTATTTAAAATCTAAGTTACCATCATCAGATTCAGGGGCCTCGCCAGATATAACAAATGCTTCAGAGTTTGTAGATAATTCTAGATCCTGAAACATGTAAATTATTTACTTATTTCATGTTAATTATATTTCCTATAAACTTGAAGTTACTAAGATGTGGTGTACCACAGCCTTTGATAGACCACTGCTGGACATAGGCCTCTCCTAAGAAACGAGGTTTTAGCTTACTATTAACAAAACTAAATCAAATCTTCTGTAAACGTGATGTGATGTGACGGTGTGACGTGACGAAAACTGTGATTTACCATTCGAATGAAAAGATTTCTGAGATTTTATGGACTTAATCATAGCAGGATTTGTGTATCAATCTTTGATTAGGGTCTGGAGCACAACAAGCAATAGTTATTATAACAACTGTTAATTGGTTACACGCACATAATAATTACTTAATTTAAAATAATTATACACTCAAACCTCCTTTCTAAGGAGAGGCCTATGTCCAGCAGTGGACAATTAAAGGCTGTTGATGATACACTCAAAGACTGTTTAAACAATAGGTATATTAAAAGAGTATTCCTATACAAGGATGTGAATATACAATAATAAATCTTTTTAGTGTACACAAATTAACTACAAAAAATTACTTAATACTAAATGAGATAAGTATAAGTAGCGGTCTCGTCGCTTAGCGGCAATCACTTACAAGGACCTATGTAAGGAAGTGTTCAACAATAGTTATAAAACCCGCTAAATCATTGCAATTTTAAAAAACAAGTGACACATCACTACTTGCCACCATAGAGGGATATGTGTATTTATGGACATTTGAGTGTTAGTTGTTTGTGTATTGTAAACGTATGTAGTCATTTTATATTTATTTAACTATTTATTATTTTTAATATATCGTAATGTACACTGCAGGCTACCCTAATTTATACTTGACAATATGCATATAAAAGTTGCCTTTAAGCAATCACCGTAAGTGATAAGACTGTCTATTGTTATACCGAGATGTATATAATTGTACAGATATATATAATACATCTATACTAATATTATAAAGCTGAAGAGTTTGTTTGTTTGAACGCGCTAATCTCAGGAACTACTGGTCCGATTTGAAAAATTATTTCAGTGTTAGATAGCCCATTTATCGAGGAAGGCTATAGGTTATATATCATCAAGCTAAGACCAATAGGAGCGGAGCACCAATGAAGAATGTTTCAAAAACGGAGAAAATTTATTACTATTGAGAGACGTAGACGAAGTTGCGCGGGTCAGCTAGTAATAAATAAATAGTTCGCTCAGGTAAGTTGGTCACAAACATTCATGTTACTAGAACTCCCTGTTAGAAGAAGTTCAAACACTGTAACCTTAACATATTGTCATAGTCGTAGAATAGTGTCGGATCTGACATTTATTGAACATTACAGGGCAGCCATTTTAAGTAATTGTGTTATCATTTTGCCACCTTTTTTTAATTATAAATCTGTAATTATGAAAATTGGCATACAAGTGAAAACTAGGCTTTGTTTTAAAATGGAATAAAAATAAAAATAATAATTTTCTAAAAAAATCACATGCTTCATTTTACTTTGAGGGCCTATCCCTAACAAACCCTGAATAATTTAAAATCTAAACTACATATAATTTTTTCTTGAATATAGTAGTAATATTTAGACAATGTAAATGGTAAAAACTCAATTCTGTATTTTTTTTTTCAAAACTGACATTATTCTACGATCCTGACGATATTTGTATTATTACTTATATTATAAAGGTTGTCTTGACTTTCAGAACTACAAATTTAAAGTAGGATTTAAAGTTTGCATTTAATAAATACTAACCGGGGATCTTCCGATTTCTATTTCTGAATCCGATTCCGAAGCCTCACCATCCACGACTTGAGCATTTCTAGACATGTTCTGCAAAGTAAGCAAGTCTTTTTACTTTTTATTAATTATACAAATCTACTAGACTATCAGCTGATCTTATTTACAATTTTTTGTGTCACTTATTTTGTGACATACTTTTGTAGTAATACCAACTCTAAAATATATATTTCCCTGTTTGTATTAAATAGAGAATTAAATTTTTGAGTTTGTGCAATAAATTATTTCTAAGTTTGAAGTCAATTAATATGAAACTCAAAAAATATGTACTAAGTATAATACTAACAATAACAATTTCAATATTTTTTTCTTCTACTCATTGATTTACTCAATTTAGGGATAAAGACAGACGCTGGTAGCACTGATGAGTGATGCCATATTTTGATCTAAGTAAGTTTAAACCAGGGGGCTGACAGCTTTAGTTCCAGCACGATGGTTGTGGCGCTACTGTAGCGTCGTATTTCGCCATTTTGTGTGACGTCGAAAACTTGCGTAAGTGTGTGTATATCATTGACTATCAAAACTGTCATCGTTGACTTCACGTCAAGTCTTTAGAAGTTTTAAACTGAGAGCCGTTATCAATTGTGTTTTCCTCCGGTCTTCCCGTTGAGTTGAGATACTTGAGAAACTACTCTGTTAATTCTTCGTATCGGATTTGGTGATATTTGTTTCATCCATTCTCGCCATGTCGCTATACAAGTGTTGTGTTGGGGGTTGTGCTTCAACAAGTAACACTCACAGACTATTTTGCATGCCCATGAATGATCATTTACGTAATTTCTGGATGTCATTGTTAGTGCCTACAAACCCCAGCCTACTTGGACTTACTAAAAACCAGCTTATGGCAAAACGTGTTTGTGAAAGACATTTTGATGAAACACAATTTGATCCGGCTGGTGTTAGAATACGTTATTCATACCCTTGTTTGCTGACAGAAAATGAGATCGCCCATGGCGTACCACTTGCGAAGGGTAAGTGCTTACTACTATAATATTGTTACATAGAGCTTCTTGTTCATGGGTCAATGTTACAACTTAATGCATGAAGCTAATAGGCTTTCACGAATCATTAAGTGAGTTCTGATATAATTTCATACAGTCAAGTTACCTTCGTTTGTTTGTTGAAAAATGGAATTAGTGTGTTCGTCTAACATAAAAAAACCATATCTGCTACTAAATAAATACCTACATTGAATTCATTTGGATATGTTCAAAAAAATACATTTGAAAAATATTTAATAAGTATAAATAATAATAACTAAATATTTTTTTACAGGGTGTAGTGTCTTAGATGACCATATTTACTGTCAGCGACCGGATGATGATGATTCAGTTGGAGGACTAATAACCATTAAAGGTATTTATACTTACACTTTATTTTTGTCTGGCACAATAATTAGCAGTCTTTATTATTGTGTTGGGTTTGTGTTATTTGAGTATGAATTTTCAAAAGAAAAATTATTTTTAATTTATGTTAACTACATAGTGAAAAATTTATTACAGGTGATATCTTCCAAGAGCACCAGTATTCACTTCCTTCAACAAGCAATTCTGTATTCACTTCACATTTGGAGAATCAAGGTTAGTAATGATTAAATTTTTCATTCTTAAGTTTGCTCTCTGGTTTGAATTGTTTTATTATATTTTATGGATAATATGCACCTGTAATAGCCCTCATCAGACTGTCACGAAGTCTCATTTTTATTTTAAAGATAGCTATTTTTATTCAAACTGATGTTCGTCTGTATCATATTTAATATGAGGAATATCATGTACATTATTAACGTAACAATATGATAAAACTCTGTGATAACAGCAAAATGTAGTTGCATCTTTGCTCAGACAAGTAGTTTCTCTATGTTATTAGGTCATTTCATAAATCAGAAAAATTATATCGATATCTTTTTTTTAGGAGATATATCGGGGGACATAACTTTTGAAGTTGCTGAATGTGAACAGGAAGAATCAAAGACTAATGCGCTGGGTTCAGGTATCGTACATTTATCAATGACAAAGACTTTGTGTTCCTATTGTAATACTTAGACTTGTAGCCATTTTTCTCATTGACACATTCTTATAACATAGGAATATTATCTATATATAGTATATACATATTATTTGTGATTATTAGAGAATTAACATATTTGCTATCGCCTATTTTGTCAATTTAGCAGTTATTTATGTTTATTTTACATATAAGACTAGCCTATTTAAAGTTGTAGTTAAGCCATAAATTCCTAAATTGAATTCATGATCATAATATAATTATTGACTTTGAATTTTAATATTTGTGACCTAAATGAATAAATATTTCCTGATTCGCATTTTGTCATATCTCTTTATGTTCATGTACATTCGAGTAAATTAGCAAGCAACTCGGCAGGATAAGTAAAGAAAACTAAAAATCAAATGTTTTCATTTCAGCAGTGCAACCTGTTTCTGATAAAGACAAGATCTACAAATCTAAGCAGAAATCCACTTCAAGTAAGATATTACCTAAAATTAAACTTATATTTTACATGACTGCCGTAAAAAGTGCAATTTTTTTATGGTTCATGTATGTATGTATATATCGCAGATAGATAGATAAGATAATTACAGCCATTATATGAATATTTCCCTAGGGATATGAGGTCTAGTAAGATAGTAGACTGCACGGATGGTGTAGTGGTTTAATCGATCACTTCGCCGCTTTCTACTGCGGTGAGTGTTGTAGGTTTAATCCCCATATGGGACAACATTATGTGTGATTCACAAATTGTTGTTCTGAGTCTAAGTGTTTTCTGTGTCCGTTTCATGTATGTTTGTAAAGTCCCCAGCGACATAGGATTTATTCCTAGTGCGGCAGTTGTCTATTAAAAGAAAAGAAAAAGAAAAGTTGTACAACACAATTGTACTATGGCAATTATAATTATCTTACTAGTGACATCTCTAGTAAGATAATTATAATCCCATACGATCCCACTGTAACTTCTTAATGCTTGAACAAATCTTACTAATATTATAAAGGCGAGTTTGTTTGGATGTATATTAAGTTAATATATATATATATATATATATACATAGGATACTTTTATAACGAAAAAATAGTGTTCCCGTAGGATGAGCAAAGTACCACAACAACCGCGGGTAACACCGCTGGGTGCAGCTAATTTGAACTTAAAGGGCATTAGAAAAACAAAAAATACGAGCTCATGTCTTTCCTTTGTTTTTTGTGTTATTGTTATTGTAATACTAAATAATAACATATTTTTGTATAATTTCAGGAAAAAGTAGAGTGCCGTTAAATTCTAAAACTCGGCGCTATATAAGGCAATGCACTAAAATTGCTTCAAATACTCAATGTGCACAGAAACAAGAAGAAAATTTGGCGCTTCTATCAAACTTCGAAAAATTGGACAAGAAAGCCAAAGCATTCTTGTTCATGCAATTAAAACTTGCAACGAGAAACAAAATGGCGAGAAGGTTTACGTTAGAAGATAAGTTATTTGGCTTGGCTCTAATGAAGCAAAGTCCGAAAGGATACAAATTATTAGAGAAGATGTTTGCCTTGCCAAATAAGAGGACACTTGCTCGTCTCTCAAATAAAATTACTTTCGAATGTTGAATCAATAAAAATATTTTTGATTCACAGTTGCACTATCAATGCTCTTTGTGGCGACAAAGTGTAGCATATTATTTTTGTGAAGGAACAATTTCTTCAACAAAATTGATAAGCATTTTAAATGCTATAATGCCTATGCTGTCAGCAACTGGTCTCAAGCTATTGGCGCTGATTTGTGATCAAGGCTCTACATTCCGGTCCTGCTTTAAAATGCTAACAGATGCAACTGCTAGACTTTATAGCAGTCAAGGAAGAGAAAATGGTAAGACTTCTTTTCTAAATACTAATATAATGGGGCTGAAAAGTTTGTTTGTTTGTTTGAATGCGTAAATGTATACCTCCGATTTTAGAAAAAAAATTACACTTTACAGACCATTTATTAAGGCTTTAATTTTAATACCATCAATTATTTTTTAAATTATTCAGTAAGAAATCGGATTCTGTTATGTTTGGAAGCTTATATCAAAATAGCTATTTGTATAATGACTTATTATCGACGCTGAGTCATATTACATTTTATAGTTTAAGTGTAAATGTTTCTCTGAAATGTTTTCAGATTATTTTGCCTTTATTTTTCAGTTAGAAATGAAATGTCAAAACATTTCTGGTTTTTTATTATGTACCTATATGGCAAAACAGTCTAAAATATTATTTCTAAATCTTGTTTCAGATGGAAGAATTCGTATAGCAGGACAAGACTTATTTTTGTTACACGACCCTCCACATCTTCTAAAAAGTATCCGGAATAACTTTTTAACAAAAGATATTCTGTTTGAGCAAAAACGAGCATCATGGGAGGATATTTTATATATTTATGACTTGGACAGCAAGTCGGGTCACACAAGAGCGTTACCCAAGATAACTTCTCATCATGTTGCACCAAAAAACAAAATGAAAGTGAAAACAGCCACCCAAGTGCTCAGTGCACGTACAGCTGCATTGCTTAATTATACCGATGCTCTTCGTAAGTAGTATCTTCTATATCATCATTTTTATTTTAAAAAATAACATTTTTTTTAATTTGTGTACAATACCGATTTATAAAAAATAGTTTTTCTATATTTTAATTCTGTCATATATTTTATGTCTTGAAATTTAAAAACTAATTGTAATTTAACAACATAAAGTTTCTGAAAAGGTATTATAAGAGTAATCATAATAATATTTCAGATAAGCGGCTCAACAATCCATTACCAACAATGGAAGCTACTGCAGCAGTGGTCACATTTTTTGATGACCTGTTTGACAGTGTCAACGGATCTCCAGGTGGAACTAAAGGCAAATTACGCTGTGCCGTCAAGCCCACTTCACCACATAAAGCATTTTGGCAAAAATCCATTACAATATTAAAAAATATAAAATATATTGACACCAAGAGTAAATTGGCAATACAGGCTGGTAAACCTAGATATGTGCGCGTACCATCC